AAGACTTAAATATAAGTTGGGGCACCATAAAAGTGCTAGAGGAGAACATAGGCAGGAAAATCTCAGATATTTCATGCGGCAACATTTTCACCAATATGTTCCCTATAGCAAGGGTCATAAAGAAAAGAACAAACAAATGTGACCTCATCAAAATAAAAAGCTTCTGCATGGCTAAAGAAAACAAATTAAAAGAGAACCAACTGTACTGGAAAACACATTTGCCAATGATACTTTGGACAAGGGTTTGATCTCCAAAATACATAAAGAACCCACACAACTCCACTCCAGAAAGACAAATCCAATTAAAAATGGGCAAAGAACTTGAACAGATACTCCTTCAAGGAGGACACACAAAGGGCCCAGAGACATATGAAAAGATGCTCAACATCACTAGCCATCAGAGAAATGCAAATTAAAACCACAATGATACCACTTCACACCAGTTAGAATGGCCATCATAAATAAATCAACACACAATAAGTGCTGGAGAGGGCAAGGAGAAAAGGGAACCCTAGTGCACTGTTGGTGGGAATGCTGACTGCTGCAGTCACTGTGGAAAACAGTATATAATTTCCTCAGAAAACTAGAAATGGAACTGCCTTTTGACCTAGCAATACCACTGTTGGGATTATACCCTAAGGGTCCTGAAACACCATTCCAAAAGAACCTATGCACCCCAATATTCATAGTACAATTTACAACAGCCAAGTACTGTAAGCAACCTAAGTGCCCATCAGTAAACAAGTGGACCAAAAAACTATGGTACATTTACACAATGGAATACTATGCAGCAGAGAAAAAGAAGAACCTCCTACCCTTCACAACAGCATGGATGGGACTGGAAAACATTATGCTAAGTGAAATAAACCAGGCAGTGAAAGAGGAATACCATATGACACAGATGACAAACACAAGGCCCCAGGCCGAATCCGGCCCTCCACCTTGTTTTATCCAGCCCTGCACCTTGTGTTTCTACCTGGCGGCAGTGCCGAGCTCTCACTTAACTGTTAAGGAGTAGTTACTTTTATACAGTCCTAAAATTACATTCAGTCCATTCAAGGCAACTGTGAGGCTGATGTGGCCCCCGGTGAAAATAAATTTGACACCCCTGCCATGTGATCTCACCTATCTAGTGGAACCTAATAAACAAAACAAGCAAGCAAGCAAAATACAACCAGAGATACTGAAATAAAGAACAAACTGACAGATACCAGAGGGGAGAGGGATAATAGGGGAAGGGCCATCAAGGAACATGTATAAAGGACACATGGACAGAGCTAAAGGCGGTAGGTTTGAGGGTGGGAGGCAGGGATGGGTGGAGTGGAGGGTGCCTGATGGGGTGAAAATGGAGACAACTGTACTTGAACAACAATAAAAAAAATGAGAGCTTAAGAAACATTACAAATGACATGAAGCATAACAATATTAACATCATGGGACTACCAGGAGAAGAGAGCTAGCAAGGGATCGAGAACCTACTTGGTGACATAATGACCAAAATCTTCCATAATCTGGTGAAAGAAAAAGACATAAAAGTCCAAGAAGCTCAGAGAGTCCCAAATAAGTTGGACCCAAAAAGGCCTACACCAAGACACATCATAATTAAATGACAAGGCTTAAAGACAAGGAGAGAAAACTAAAAGCACAAGAGAAAAGCAGCTTGTCACCTACAAGGGAGCACCAATTAGACTGGCATCTGATTACTCAACTGGAACATTTCAGGCCAGAAGGGAGTGGGGTGAAATATTCATGGTGATGAAAAGCAAGAGCCTACAACCACGGCTACTTTACCCAGAAAGGCCATCATTTAAATTTAAAGAAGAAATCAGGAGCTTCCCAAACAAGAAAAAAGCAAAAGGAGTTTGTTAACATCAAACCAGCACTGCAACAAATGTTAAAGGGCTTGCTTTAAGAAGAAAAATAAAGAAAAAAAAAACAAAGGAAAACAGTCTAACAATAAAATGGGACAACATATGTTTATCTATCAACATGTAATGGCTTTAGTGCTGCAACCAAACAACATAGAGTAGATGAATAAGAAAACAAGAACCAAACCATATATATGCTGCCTCAAAGACACCCATCTCAGATTGAAAGATACCCACAGACTAAAAGTGAAGGGATGGAAAAGGGTATTTCATGCTAATGGAAAAGAAAAAAAAAGTAGGGTAGCAGTACTTATATCCAACAAAACAGACTTTAAAGCCAAAGCTATAGTAAGAGACGAAGAAGGACACTACACAATGATACAGAAAACAATCCAACAAGAGGATATGACCCTAGTAAACATTTACGCACGAACATAAGAGCACCTAAATATGTGAAGCAAATCTTGATGGACATAAAGGGAGAGATTGACAGAAATACATGGACATAAAGGGAGAGATGGACAGAAATACAGTCATAATTGGGGATTTAAAAATCCCACTGACTTCAACGGATCGATCTTCCAGGCAAAAAATCAACAAGGAGACAGTGGCCTTAAACAACATGCTGGATCAAATGACTTTAATTGATATCTTCAGAGCATTTCCAAGCAGCAGAACATACATATTTTTCAAGTGCAAATGGAACATTTTCTAGGATATACCACATGTTACGAGACAAAACAAGTCTCAATAAATTTAAGAAGATTTCAATCAGATCAAGCATCTTCTCTGACCACAATGCTATGAAACTGGAAATCAATCACAAGAACACTGAAAGGCACACAAAGACATGGAAGCTAAATAACACATTATTAAACAATGAATGGGTCAACAATGAGATCAAAGAAGAAATCAAAAGATACAGTGACACAAATGAAAATGACACAACAATCCAAAACCTGTGGGACATTGGGAGAGCAATGCTAAGAGGGAAATACATAGCATTTAGAGGCCTATCTCAACAAACAAGAAAAAGCTCAAGTAAACAATCTAACTTTACACTTAAAGGAACTTGAAAAAGAACGACAAACAAAGTCCAAAGTAAGTAGAAGGAAGGAAATAATAAAGATCACAGCAGAAATGAAATAGAGTCCAAAAAAACCATACAAATGATCAATGATTCCAAGAGTTGGTTTTCTGAAAAGATCAACAAGATTGACAAACCTTTTACCAGACTCATCAAGAAAAAAATAAGAAAGGACCCAAATAAAATCAGAAATGAAAGAGGAGAAACAACAACTGACACTAAGGAAATACAAAGGATTATAAGAAAATATTATGAACAACTGTATGCCAACAAACTGGACAAACTGGACGAAATGGATAAATTCCTAGAAATAAACAATCTTCCAAAAACTAAGTCAGGAAGAATCAGAGAATCTGAACAGACAGATTACACCTAGTGAAATTGAAGCAGTATTCAAAAAACTCCCAACAAACAACAAAGCCCTGGACCAGATGGCTTCACAGATGAATTTTACCATACATTCTGAGAACTAATCTCTCTCCTCAAACTATGTCATAAATTCAAGAGAAGGAAAGGCTCCCAAACTCATTTTACAAAGCCAGCATTATCCCAATCCCAAAACCAGGTAAGGACACTACAAAGGAAGAAAACTATAGGCCAATAACCCTGATGAACATAGATGTTAAAATCCTCAACAAAATATTTGCAAACCAAATACAGCAATGCATCAAAAAGATCATACACTATGATCAATTGGGATTTATTCTGGAAAAATAAGGTTGTGCAGTGTGGTGACTGCTGGGGGGAGAAGGATATAAGAGGATTAAATGGTAACGGAAAAAATACAATAAAGATTAAATTTTTATAAAAAGAAAAGGGGCATGAGGACTAATAAAAAGCTGTTGCTAAATCTGGATACCTTTAAGATTGACAGGTAAGGTAATTAAACATCACTTTCTCAACATGTTTTAAGCATCTAAGGTACATATTCAACATATCCATTAATTTGTTGTGCATTTGATTAATTTTAATATGCTATTTCTATTTGGAAGGACACTAGCTTTTCCAAGCTCAACAGCAGTAATAGTTACCATTTTATAGTAACATTAAGAGACTGCCATTGTTTTTTAATTCAGTCAGCCTAACAATGGATGACTTTGAATTAAAATTAATTTTATACCAAAGTTCATGCAACAGACATAATTTCCAAAAAGCTAATTTTTCTTCTATGCCTTCTACATATCCTGCTTATTCATTAAATCAATAATATATTGAGGTCCTGCAGTATGTTTCAGCACTGTGCTAAACATTAAAATTCTGTATTTGTGAGAACTTTTTCCTTCATCCCTAAACTCTAATTCCCTCACTCCTGTTCTCTGAAGCAAAGTACTGTGCTGTATGCTCCCAGAAGCCCTATTCAGGACTGAGGGGCAGGCCATAATCAATGATACATCTGAAGGCCAATCCAGCTCCTGAGCTGAAGGCCTCCGGTAAATGCTCCACAGTGTAACTTCTCTTTCTGCCTAGCCCTGCTTCCTTTGCTTAACCCCTAAACCACCCCACCCCTCTGCTTGTTGATACCAAGAACATTTCCAAATACATTTTCTGCCCATGAATCTCCATCTCAAAGTCTGCTTCCCTGAGAACTCACCCACTCTTACACACTCTCCTCAGTTGTGCTCCATGACTGAAACTTCCTCCATCCCTGACCTGAGCATCCCACTCACTTTCTCATTACTTCTGCAGCCAAGCCATCAAAAGAGCATTTTTCTCAACATATATAATCTGAGCTAAATGTTGGGGGAAATAATAGGATAGTACTTGCTGGTGACCATTTTATGATTTAAGATTACTGATTAAGGAAGAAAGCTATGTACTTGGTAGTTTTACAAGCATTAGATGAAAGTAAAGAATATCCAGAAAAAGAGGGAAAAAAAGAAATAAAACTATTTGGAAACACAAAAACTTTTCCTCTGCCTTAAAGCAGAATACTATCTACCATAGCAAAGTATGAAAATGAGTACATATATGAAAATTCGTGTTAAAACTGGAGTTTCAATAAATTAGAGAACAGAAAAAAACAAAAAGCTCAACAGGCATCAAAGTGGCCTTTACTCATTTAATTTTCCTTTCAACTTATAAATGCTATCACAATTCTAAAGAGAATAGACTTGAATGAAAATTTTTTATTATGAAGATAAAATCTAAGAAGGATTATTACGTGCTATTTTATAGCTCCTTGTAAAATAACATGAAAAATTAGTAGAAAATGAAAATCTGAAAGATTATCTGAAATCTGAAAATGTTAAGCAATTTTCCCTGCATCTCAGTTTTGATCACTTTTGCATATCTGGGTGAAAAGAGTATTCTTCTACTTTTGTTAATAATGGAGTATGTCCTTCAGAGCTTGGCATAGTCTTTAAGGATCATCTGAAGCTTCTGGCTCAGCATGATGTTCCCTCTGGCCTTCAGTTTGCCACTAAAGAATGCCTGGGAAGGAAAGATGGAAAAAGAACGTCAAACTTTATCATGTTACATTTTATTTGTGTTTTTAAACATTGTTCAAAAACAATTTTTTTCCAGACTGAATACAATTGAATTAACTGTTAACAATAAAGGCAACTTTTATCTAGCAATGATAGTTTAATGATTATAGATATTTTTAGACAACTAAGAAAATATATACTCCTTGTGTGTTTTATAAAACCATAAAATAATTTAACTGAACTGACAGATCTGGGTATTCTGCTTCAACCTACGCTTCTAGCTTCAGTCTATATTCTTATACATGAATTTGAGACCATATAAATAAAAGTCTTTACTGTATTCTTAATAATTAAAATATTAAATTCAGAACTTTTAAAAGCAGATTAAAATATTTACTACATCTTCATGAAATAAAAAGCCATATAATAATAAATTAAGGCAGTAAAACAAAGCAGTGAATTGATTCTGGACTACAGCATTAGAGGCCTGAGTTAAAATCTAGGCACTGCTCCTTACTAGCAAGCTGAGCTTGGGCAAAGTATGTAATCTCTCTGAGCTCTAGCCTCCTCATCTGTAAAAGGCAAGACAACAGTACCTAAATCATGCTGCTTTGTTGTGTGAGTTAAGTGAAACAGTGTGTAAAGTGCTTAGCTTAGTGTTTTTATATATGATAAGAGCAGAGCAAACTCATTATTACCAAACAAAAGCCTGTCATGTTAAAATACTAAGGGCTCCTGTACCACCTCTATATCTGACCTGAAACTTATGCAAGTTGCTAAAGTCCTTCCTCAGCGTCAAGTTCCCTATCAGTAAAATAAAAATAATAAATCAGTTTGTATAACTTATTGAGAAAATAACAGAATGTGAAATAAAAAGAAGTCCCTAGATTTCTATCTAGATTATAAATAGTAATAGCTATGTATACTTAACATTACAAAGCAGCCCTACAAATATAATCTCACTGGAGAAGCACAGCCAACAACTTGAAGTGGGCATAACAGTAATTCTTACCCCCAGCTGAGAGATGGAAAACTGAAGTTCAGAGAGCTTAAATAACCTGCTCAAGACCACAAAGTCAGCAAGAAGTAAGGCCATTAACCGCTTATTAACTAGTAGTAACTTAAACTCAGAAACAAATCCTCATCAGCTGGAGGAACCACAGAAATGGAGATCACATAGAGGGTTATCAACAGGGGAGTGGAAGGGGGAGAGAGGGGTAAAAGATACCCCTCTCTTACCCCTCTCTCCCCCTTCGTAGCATAGATGGTAGGTAGAAAACAACAGGGGGAAGGGTAAGAATAGTATAGGAAATGTGGAAGCCAAAGAATTTATATGTGTAACATAGATGGTAGGTAGAAAACAACAGGGGGAAGGGTAAGAATAGTATAGGAAATGTGGAAGCCAAAGAATTTATATGTGTGACCCATGGACATGAACTAAAGGGGGGTGGGGGTGTGGATGGGACGGGGTATGCAGGGTGGAGGGGAGTGAAGAGGGGATAATGGGACAACTGTAAATAGCATAATCAATAAAATATATTTAAACAATATAAAATATTCCATTATTACTTTTAATATTGTTACACGTTGAAATACTTGAATATACTGAGTTAAATAAAATACAGCTAGCCCTTGAACATCATGGGTTTTAACTATGAAAGTCCACTTATATGCACTTTTTTTCCCAAAAATATATAGTCAGGCCTCTACTTCCATGCATGTGAAACCTGGAAATAGAGGGCCAACTGTGTATTTATAGTAATGACAAACAGCACTGAGGTTGGAGAGAAGGTAACAGAACCAAATGAGTTTAGAAAGCCCCTAATATTAATTAGCATTTCTCTAAGGATCATCATTAAGAATAATAAACACCTACATTTTCACTTCTGTTTTTATTTTTTACACTTAATTCCATTCCGCATGGTATCGACTTAGGCATCAGAATAACATAAAGCACTACCATTTCCTAAGCAACCGTTCAGTACCATTCACTGACTAACCCATTCGCCCCCCAAAGGTCTGATATTCCTAGCAATTATATAAATATTTACTTAATCCTACATTTAATCTTTAAATACAGACATCTCAAATATAACATATCTAAAAAAGAACTCAATTACCCACTCTCCCAATTTTCCACTCGGCATCCAGAACAATCTTTAAAAATCAGATGCTGTCATTCTGCAGCTCAACGGCTTCCTATCCCACACAATATCTGACCTCCTTATGAAGACAGGTCCTGTGTGATCTGCCCTTGCCTGTTCTCCTATCTCACCTCCTACCACTCTTCCCAACCACGGGCCTCCTTACAGTTACAGCACTCGAATACATGACACCACTCCCACCTCAGGCCTTGGCACTAGTAGTTTCCTTAGCCATATGGCTCACCCCTCACTTCGTTCTAGTTGCTATCAGGCCGCTTTGAACACCCCTACCTAAGATAGTTCCTCTGTCCTGTCACACTCTAATCCAAGTACTGGCAAACTGTGGCCTATGGGCCAAAACTAGCCTGCTGCCTATTTTTGTAAATAAAGTTTTACTGGAACACAGCCCCATCCATTTGTTCACATATTACCTGTGGCTACTTTAACTCTTCAATGGTGAAACTGAGTGGGTACAACATAGACCATCTGGCTCACAGAGCCTAAAATATGAACAATGTGACCCTGTACAGAAAGTCTGTCAATCACCACTCTAACCTACTACCCTGACTTGTTTTTCTTCATACCTGAAATTATATTTCTTTTCCATTCACCTCTAGTACTAAGTTCCACACAGTCAGGGCACTGTCTTCTTCAGCCACCCCTAGAACCCAAATATGAGTAGGTACTAAATGAATTCCTGGGAAGGAATTAACTGAGGACTCGCTTAGTACCAAGCACCATAGTAAGCTCTTCACATATATTATTGGGTTTAGTTATCATAACAACGCTTTGGGATTGTTACAATTATTCATTTTACCAATAAGAAAATTGAGGTTTAGAGAGTAAGTGGCAGGGCTAAGATTCAAACTCAGATTTATCTGATGACGAAGAACATATTTTTTATTGTACTACACATTATAATTCTTTTAAAATTATTTTATGATTCTTTTAAAATTAGTTTACAATTCTTTTAAAATTAGTCTGTCTATCCAGAAAAACTAAATATTTTCTATTTATTTAAATTGCTCTGCTCCTTGTAAAGTTGCATAGTTTTCTTCAAATAAGTACTGAACTTTCTTATTAGGGTAGTAATTAGTATTTTTTAGTTTACACGGTGATTATAAACAAATTTTTTCAATTGTATCTTCTACTTGGTTTTGCTATGTGAAAGCTATTTTTAAAATAAGTTTTGTGCATTTAACCACTTTGAATTCCTCTGTTCTGAGAACCCATTAGTTGATTCTCTTGGGATTTCCAGCTACATAATCACAATTTGGAAAAAAACAAAACAAAATTTTCTAATGCATTCTAATCACTACATCAGTTACTTTCATTCTGTGTGTCTATAACTTGGCCAAAAGTTTCAGAACAGTATTAACTCATCATGGTCAGAGAGGGCTCCCTTGTCTTAACCACGATTTTCCACTGAAATGTCTGTTTCTAAATATTTCACCTTCCATAAGACACTGGCTGTTATGTTCTATCCTTTTATTTCCAGTTTTCAAAGATGATCATGACAAGCCCTTAATCTTACTGTCAGGAATAAATGTCTAATTTTATGAAATACCTACTAATATCATAAGATTTTTCACCTTTGAACTAATGACATAATAAAAAGTCTAGATGTGGGTTTTATACTGTTGATATGCTAAAGAAGAATATCACCAAAAATTCAGTTCTGAGGAGTATCAGTTGAAAACCTATTAGAAAAATTCATGATCTGTCAACTCGGACATTGGCATCCACTGTGTCTTCAGAGTTGTAAGAATTCTGTACCATAAATCAGATTTTGGAAGTCAGCTAAAACCTGCGACTGTCAAATAGGAAGCAATAATGATGAATAAATGAACATTTTAGGAATGTTCTTACCTTCTGAGGATCAAGCTTGCCCAGGACTACATCAATGAAATCTTCATCGGAAATAGTGACTGTTAAATCAGCAGAGCCTTTCGCAGGGCCTTGATACACTTTTCCAGTACCATTTTTTAGGTCAATAGCTGAGAAAAATAAGAAAAAAATGTGTGCCATATTTTCTTCACAATGTGAGAGTAAAATAAACCAACTAATATGCAGACATTTTTACAGTTCCCAAGATAATGTACTGCTTATTCTACAATATATATTACCTGTCATTTAGGAAAAAAATTAAGTCCTTTATTTTTTGACATTTTCTTTTTATAAAGAAGTTCTTCAAAATAATCAAATCAATTTTTTCCTCATTAAAGCAGCTTACAAAACATTTTAAATGTGACTCAATGTAGAATAATGTAAGGAATAAGTTAGTGGAGGTTATATGTCAAGGCCATTAGGTTCAAATACTTGACAGTCAACAAAGGAAGCTGGATTTCAAACCAGCTGCACGTTGCAAGAAGGGAATACACACTATAGTCACCTTTCAAATACCTGAATTCATCAAGCTAATCAACATACACTTTAAAAAATGTTCTAATCGCCCCTTAGCTCAGTGGATTGAGCACCGGCTGCGAACCAAAGTGTCGCAGGTTCGATTCCCAGTCAGGGCACATGTATGGATTGCAGGCCATGGCCCCCAGCAGCCGCACATTGATGTTTCTCTCTCTCTCTCTCTTTCTCCCTCCCTTCCCTCTCTAAAAATAAATAAATAAAATCTTTTTAAAAATATTCTAATTGATTTTGTTATACTTAAGATTTTATAAAATATTTATTGCCCTAATTGTTATACATAAACTTTAAAATTAGCTCCTTGTCTGTTAACTGTTTTTGATAGAAGAATTAAGTGTCCCAGAAACAGGCTGGGTGCAAGAAAAGCTATTAAAAATTTTCCTTCATTGCTCTCTGTGTAACATTCATAGAGTTTTATGCCATAGTTACACTTTAGAAAGTTTTAATTATCTCATATATGACTAAGACCAATCATCTAGGAAGCCCAATTCTACTCATCCAGCTTCAGCCTCTTGAAGGTGCTTTTCCTTGCCACAGTGAAGGAGCTATAGTCACATCACTCTCTCTAAGAGACTATAGGAGACTCCCAATTTATGGTCAAGGAAAGGCTACACATACATAAGAAAAAACCAGAGTGTTTAACTACATCTTGCTTAGTCAAGCCTTGCTCCAGAGAGAAAATTAATTACTCTAACTCTCCACATGGAAGAATACTGCCAACTAAACTAAAAACATAATTTAACAATAATGGTTACCTTGGGGAGGGGAAAAGGCAAAGAGAAGGAAACCACTTGACCTTGCATATTCATTCACTTCACTGTTTCTACTGGGGGTGTCACATGATATACAAGGTACTAGAAATGGAGCATGAAGAGCAAAGGCTCTGTTCTTATTGACACTGACACATCATGAATGTGTTTTCATGTATTCTTTGTATAGTTAAAAAGAAAGAAAGGGGGAGCCACTGCAGCAGCAGAAGATGGACAAGGGGAAGGCCAGGCAACATCGATCTTTATCTGGACTTTGCCTCTCTAACAAACAGGTCGCCATCTCAGACTGGACAGCTTCTTCTTTTCAAAGATCATCTTTCATGTCTTTTCTATAAACACATGAGACATCCAGTTGGATCCCAATCCTAACTGTGGAATCAACATTCTGATGATTTAGTTTACATCCAAGCTGAAAAACCCTAAAAAGTAAACGGTGTGACTGCTAGGAGATGCACCAGCCCAGGAACTAACAGGTTTTAATGATCAGATCTTAAAAGAATGGCAGCTAGCTAAACTGTATATATTCTTTCACATTCTGGCAAATTTCCAAGATCCAAAACAGATGAATTAGAGGTTACATGATGTAAAAAACCAAAGTGCATAACAGATGCTTGGATTTAATTCAAATAGGTAGACTTAGCTCTACATAATTAGCTACAGTATACATTTTTAAAAAGCCTAGTAAAAGACAGAAAACTGTACTTGAATAACAATTAAAATAAAATTTTTTAAAAAGCCAACTGACTTTATAACTTAACAATATTTAAGCAACAATGTGTAATATTTCTATAATCTTGCTATATAAATGTAAAATCCAATTATGTTCCTATAATGGAAAAGATTATAAATATGTAAAAGGAAACCAAATTTCCTTTAGGAGAAAAATAAGCAAACTGCTCAATGCCAATGAGCTTAAATCTATCATCCTAAGGAAAACAAAATATAAAGCAGAGTAGCAAAGCTAACAGTCTGAGTTCCAACTAATATTTTCATGAATATAGTTTCTAATTCTGTCTCCACCTGTGAACTCATCCCTAAATTCCAGGCCCATAGCTTCCACAACCTAGTCCAGATCTCTGTCTGCTACAGTTGTGGTACTACAGCTTATCAAATCTTCCCTCCTAAACTTCTCTCCTCTTCATTTTTCACACTTGCAGTACCAGAGTCGACATCCTCTGTCACACAGGCTCAACACTTTGGTGTTATCTCCTTTTTGTTCCTCCTGTTTTTCAGACATTATTAGTAGCCAAGACCGTCAATTGTATCTTAGCAATAGATCCACATAGGCTCTTTCCTCTCCATCACTGCCAGCACTTTACTACAGGTCTTCCTTCCTTTGAACCTGAATTCAACAACCTTTGTTTCCTTAACTCCAGTATTACAAACTTTCCTGATACACTGCCTCTAATACTAATTTCCGAAAAGAAAAAAATCCTGTCTTTTCATATTTGTAATCCACAACCTAGCAGAGAACCTGGCACATATTAAATACTCAAGTATTTGTTGAATGAGCCAACCCTCCCATCCGTGAGAGCCAACAGCACCTTTCCCCTGTCTCTTACCACTTCTGTTCTATCAGAATTATCTGTATATATGAATAGGTCTCAATTCCTTATTTAAAATCCTTCAGGCCACATGTGTTTTAAGAATTCAGAATTTTTCACATTTTAGGAAGAAAATACCATTCATAAAACATGTATTAAATACTATAAAAGACCCCCAAAGTCACAACACATTATCAAAAAATACAGGATTTCTACATTCTACATTGGACTAACTCACACCAGGTGAGATGACGACAAACAGTTGTAACATCTCAGTTCATGTCAGGTTTCGACACCAAAGAGTTATGCAAAAGAAAATCCATTTTTAGAACTTTTGGTTTCTGGAGTTGCAGATAAAAATAACTGTGTTTTAATTTTCAGCAGACTGTTCTATAGGTCATACAAGGCCCCTGATTCTTTAAGTTTCTTTATGCCTTCCTGTCATCTTTCATTTCCTTTGAATTTTTACTTTTGCCTAAAACAGAGTGAGATCCAAAGGGTTTATTTACTAAGACAGCTTTTGGCTGGTTTCAGAAATTAATAGTAACAAATATCACAGAATATACTGCTTACTTATAAAATGTCTCAGTTGTATGATATTGTCCCTGAATATTTCATTCATGCTAAGTAGACACTATCCATACAATAAACTTATTGTTTTCATAGAAAAAAAGGCACCAATTTTGGCACATTTTTAACAAGGCAGGCATCTGCTTCTATCTCAAACTGTGTGTTCTATATGACTTTTAGCACTTACTCAACATTTAAGGAGTCAGGTTACTACGTGTTATAAACCATACTTGAAGCTGGAAATAAATTATTTTTTAAAATATTTTTTAAATGATTAATTTCTTTTTTTTATTTATTTATTTTTAGGGAGGGAAAGTGTGGGGGGGAGAGAGAGGGAGGGAGGGGAGAGAGAGAGAGAGAGAGAGAGAGAGAGAGAGAGAGAGAGAGAGAGAGAGAGAAACATCAATGTGCAGTTTCTGGGGGTTATGGCCTGCAACCCAGGAATGTACCCTGGCTGGGAATCGAACCTGGGACACTTTGGTTCCCAGCCCGCGCTCAATCCGCTGAGCTATGCCAGCCAGGGCAAAATATTTTTAATATATTTTATTGATTATGCTATTCCAGTTTTCCCATTCTTTTCTCCCCTTTATTCCTCTCCAGCTTGCACACTCCCTCCCACCATCATTCCCCCACCTTAGTTCATGTCTATGGATTATATGAGTTCTTTGTTGTCTCCATTTCCTATACTATTCTTAACCTCCCCCTATCTATTTTGTACCCACCATTTATGCTTCTTATTCCTGTCTTTTCCCCCATCCTCCCCCCATACCCTCCCTGCTGATAACCCTCCATATGATCTCTATTTATGTGAATCTTTCCTGTTCTTGTTGTTTGCTTAGTTCATTTTTACTTTTGTTTTTGCTTTGTTTTGTTGTTAGGTTTGGATGTTGACAGTTGTGAGTTTGTTGTCATTTACTATTCGAATTTTTCATCTTCTTCTTTTTCTTAGATAAGTCCCTTTAACATTTCATATAATAATGGCTTGGTGATGATGGACTCCTTTAACTTGACCTTATCTGGGAAGCACCTTATCTGCTCTTCCACTCTAAATGACAGCTTTGCTGGATAGAGCAATCTTGGATGTAGGTCCTTGCCTTTCATGACTTGAAATACTTCTTTGAGGCTGGAAATAAATCAGTCTGAAGCTCTTTCTCAGTGTTAAACCCAAGATCAAGTAGGAGGAGAAATATAATTAGAAATGATCATAAAACAATAAGATAACAGTCATGAGCAACAGGCTCTGTTCAAAGGGAATTCAGGAATTTGCTTTTCCATCTGATGTCCATTTTTACCTTTCCAACTTAATCCAAGAATCTCCAGAAAATTAAAAAGCCAAAGGACTACCTTTATTCCAAAGGGTAAAACACCTGAAGGCACAGGTTGTCAAAAAAAAGGTGTTCAAACATGTCCAGGCACTCAATAACATTTTGGAATAATAAAAAACATAGATGACAAAATCACTGTGTTCTTGATGTTAAAATAAATATTAACAGTGAAATAAAGCTTCTATTTTGACCTTATTTATGTAGGGAAGCACTATCATCGGATCATAATGTTTTGAATAATTCTACAACAATGCTTCATAATCAAAACAGTCTCCAGAGGTAGAAATGAGAAGATGCCCATGAGCTTTCCAACAAATGGGGCTTCCTTCCCCAAAATGTCACACCAAGGTCCTCCTCTGATTTCTCATACCAAGGACCTACAGCCTTCTGTTATACACACACTCCTGGCTCACAGGAGAAAGGAAAGGCTCTCCAGCCTCTCTCAGATCACCTCAGCCCAGAGACGCAGAGGCCACACTGGCTCTCGCCCAGGCAGCGCCTAGACGACCAGGACAGGCTCAGAGGCCTCACCTCAGAAGACACAGATAGGATTCCTCCTTCTCCACAGCCAAAATCAACCCTAACCCAGCACGCACACAGAACATTACTGATTCTTTCTAGATTTAGACTAAATTGGCTTTAGAAGACTCCCCTGCTCCCCACAACACACACACATTCTACCCAGAGATGTGTTGTTGCTGTTGTTCAGATGGAAAAAAAAAAGCACCTTCCGTATTCTCTAAATCAAAACATTCAGTCACTTACTTCATGTCACTAGGTGCCATGATGTAAAACAGAGATGCCAATATGGATCACTTTCCAAAACACCATAAGCCAAAGACCTAGATAGTTTCTACTGCTGCCAGATACTGTGATTTAACTCAGTGACCCAAAGACTGTGAGAACACAACAAACAGAACCGAAAACAGTCGCACAGCTGAGAATCCAATGAAATAACAAGCTGTAGATAACCAAAGGTAACAGTGAATCCTTTCAGAGAAAGCTTTAAGATTCAATTTCATTGGTAACTTTGATAAGTAAGCACCTGAAGAAGAGATAATAAAACAAACATTAAGTCACAAAGCATCAATAATAAGAACTTATTAAGAGTATTCCAATATTCCCATTTTCCAGGGGAAATATAAAGAAAAAATCCTTTTTTAGGTTAATTCAAGCTAATTTTTAAATGTGAGCACATTTTCTAATATTATCTACGAGGAATGTGTCACCAAGACAAGAAGAAAATCTTAGTTGGCTATTGAAACTGTATTGAAACTGTCTGCCAAGAGGGAGTTACTTGTATACTTCATAAATCCCTTCAAAGTTCCATTCTGCCAACAGTGACATAGTTCCAGCACCTTTCCTCACTCTTATAGCCCTCATTTCTCTTCTTCACCAATATCTTCAAAAGTCCTGTGCTTTATATTTATAACTCAACTTCTAATATACTGTCATCCACTGGAAAAAAGTTGAATTCCATCATGGTCACACAGAAAGAGAAAAGGAAGGACAGAAAGAAGAAAGTCATGACCCCTACATATACAGTGTTAATCTATGCAGTTATATAGGAAAATATTAGACACTTTGAAATTTGGGGGACCAAATACACACTACATTTTGCCTTCATTTATACCCTTTCTGCATTAACATCCTATAAGCACAAACGTATTCCAGAAGAACAAACATCAAAATGTTAACCGTGGGTCATAGGATTATACATCATTACTTTCTTCTTTATGCCTTTCTATACCAAACTTTATATAATGAACAGATATTCCTCATGTTCATTATATAAAATGTTCATTTAATGTAACAGTTGCTGTTCCTTTAATGAACATAAAGAAACAGCAACTGCTACATTAAAAAGGAAGTTATTTATATTGAACCAAAATCAACTGAACGAAACTTCAAAATGTTTTTAGGAATATGTAATAGAAGATTATTTCAAAAGTTTCAGCTGATTTAGAGATATATTTTAATTTTTTGGCCTAGTGAATATTTACAGTGACCTTCACTTGAAATGAAAAATAATCTGATTTTCAAGGTACTTAAATAGGCACCCTAAAATAACAATTAACTTTTTCAAATATATTTATTGATTATGCTATTACAGTTGTCCCATTATCCCCGGTTCACTCCCCTCCACCCTGCACACCCTCTCCCACCCACATTCCTCCCTTTAGTTCATGTCCATGTGTCATACTTATAAGTTCTTTAGTTTCTACATCTCCCATACTATTCTTGCCCTCCCCCTGTCTATTTTCTACCTACCATGTACGCTACTTATTCTCTGTACCTTTTCCCCCTCTGTCCTCCTCCCACTCCCCTGTTAATAACCCTCCATGTGATCTCAATATCTGTGGTTCTGTTCCTGTTTGAGCTGTTTTTTTGTTTTTGTTTTAGGTGTGGTTGTTAATAATTATGAATTTGCTGTCATTTTACTGTACATGTTTTTTATCTTTTTTCTTAGGAAAGTTCCTTTAACATTTCATATAATAAGGGCTTGGTGATGATGAACTCCTTTAACTTGACCTCATCTGAGAAGCACTTGATCTGCCCTTCCATTCTAAATGAAAGCTTTGCTGGATAGAGCAATCTTGGATGTAGGTCCTTGCGTTTCATGACTTGGAATACTTCTTTCCAGCCCCTTCTTGTCTGTAAGCTCTCTTTTGAGAAATCTGCTGACAGTCTTATGGGAACTGCTTTGTAGGTAACTGTCTCCTTTTCTCTTGCTGCTTCTAAGATTCTCTCCTTCATTTTAATCTTGGGTAATGTAATTACGATGTGCCTTGGTGTGTTCCTCCTTGGGTCCAAACTCTTTGGGAGACTCTGAGCTTCCTGGACTTCCTGGAAGTCTATTTCCTTTGCCAGATTGAGGAAGTTCTCCTTTATTATTTGTTCAAATACATGTTCAGTCTGTTGCTCTTCCTCTTCCCCTTCTGGCACCCCTATAATTCAGATGTTGGAACATTTAAAGATGTCCTGGAGGTTCCTAAGCCTCTCCTCATTTTATTGATTTCTTATTTCTTCATTCTTTTCTGTTTGGTTGTTTCTTCCTTCTGGTCCACTCCATTGAGTCCCAGTTTCCTTCCTATCACTGTTGGTTCCCTGTACATTTTCCTTTATTCCACTCAGCATATCCTTCATTTTTTCATCTAATTGGTGACTAATTCAACCAATTCTGTGAGCATCCTGATCACCAGTGTTTTGAACTGCATCTGATAGGTTGGCTATCTCTTCGTTGTTTAGTTATATTTGTTCTGAAGCTTTGATCTCTTCTTTCATTTGGGCCATTTTTTTGTCTTGACACGCCTATTACATAGTGAGTTATGTAAGTGTTTACCAGGAGCCTTAAGTGTTTACCAGGGCAAGGTAACCCACGTGGCTGGGTTGTGACACTGTATGTGGGGTAGGGGTCCGAGAGGGAACAATGGCACTTGCTCTGTTCTCTGCCAGTTTTCAGTCCATTCTGCCACTTCCCTCAAACAAACGGGGCCCTTCTGGTGATAATTCCCATGTGGGTGGGCTTGTGCACGTTCTAGGACTCCATGGGTCTCTCCAATGAACTCTCCTGTGAGGCTGGGAGTTCTTCCCACTGTGGCCTCAACCCCTACAGGTGTTTTCAATCGGTGTTTTGAGGCTTTATGTCCTTGTGATGGAGCCATGGGTTGCATGGTCTGTCTCGCTCCCCAGTTTCGCCTGGTTTATCTGTGTGTGAATGTGGGTCTCCCTGGTCCACCAGCCACCTTGCAAGCTGCGCCCCTCCACAATCTGCCACCTCACTGGGTCTACCTGCTGTCACCCCATGCACCCAGGGTCTAGCAGCCACCACTTTTTTTGCCACGACCCTGCTCAGCCCAGCCACCTGACTCCGCCCCTCCTACTGGTCTGGATGAACGTGTCTACTTTAACTCCTTGGTTGTCGGACTTCCATACAGTTCAATTTTCTGTCAGTACTGGTTGTTTTGTTTCTAAATTTTTGTTGTCCTTATTTTGGTTGTGCAAGGAGGCACAGTATATCTACCTATGCCTCCATCTTAGCCAGAAGTCCTACAACAGAATCCTTAAAAGAGGTATTTTCATTTTAATTGATTCCTTACATCTCTAAAAAACACAGATGTCTTTGGGTACTTTAAACCTGTTATTCCCATGAAGAATAACTGACCTACAAAGTAGGATTTACTTTTCAAAGACACAGGCTTGAATTATAACAAGGATACTTTTTCTCTGTTTACTAAGAGTTGCCTTGGAGTATTACAAAGTCAGGGATATAACTTACTCCACTCAGCCGCAATATTTCCACCTTTAGTGATATGCCACTCAAATACAGCATTGGCTTTCTTTACCACCTCGTGCCCTATGTCCTTAAGACGGCGACGTATTTCCTCAAATACCAAGGTACTCTGAAGCTCCCCACCCTAGGAAAAAGAGAAAATTTAATGTTAAAAATTATGTAAAAATGAGTCAAGGGGAAAAATTATTATAAAATATATGTATAATAAGGTAATTTTTTCCAAAATCTGCATATAAATAAGGCAAATTAGTTTTGTGGTTTTTTTATTTTTTTTGTTTTTTTTACACCAGGCTTCTTTCACATTTTCCTTACATTTATTCATGTCATCCAGGATCTCAGCCCTAGATGGAGAGCAGATGACAGCTAGTCAGTGGGGGGAGTTTTGGAGGGGGAGAGATTGAGCGAAAAGAAAAAAGGACTCATGGACATGGACAACGGGTGATTGCTGTGGTGATTGCTGGGGAGAGGGGGGATAAAGGGGACTAAGTGGTAATGGAATAAAAACACAATAAAGATTACATTAAAAAAGAAACAGAACCTCAGTCCTCTAAATAAGAGAATTTTACCTTTATCAGAATTCAGACACAATAATTTAAAAATAAATTAGGAACTAAACAACCTGTATCTTAACTATCTTCAAGAGGAAGATAATTAATCTACTTCTGTGGTCCTATTTATTTATTTACAAAGTAGGACTAAAGTACATAAAAACTGAACTTCTTTCTAACTCTAAAACTTCATCAATTTTTGATCTTAGAGTCTTAAGAGATTTTAATTTTCATTAAAGATCATAAACTAAAGGCACGAAAACCTCGACATTACAAAGTTAATATTTTAGGGACAGAGAACATTAACATTTTTATTAAAAGCCTCAATATGTTAACAGAGAATAACAAAATTGTTTTAGTAAACAATATACCCTCTTGTTTTTATATTTATATTCATATATAAAGCTTCATACAAATGTTTAAATCACAAGAAGGTACAAGATATTAACTTTCTGCTTTACCTTTCTACAAGATATTGTTTGCTTGACATTTCTTATTAAACAACTGATTTAAATATGATAAAACTAGAAAATTAATTACTTTTTCTTGAGACACACCCTACTATCCCCTCCAAAATTTTTAAAATTCATGTCCAAATATTCTTTTTATTATAAGCAGTTTTGAATTAATGTCTTTCAGTTCAAGAATTAAGAACCTTTCATAGCACTTAACTTTCTAAAGTAGCCTGAATATTCTTAAAGCAATCTTAACTGAAATTCAGAATTAGGAAATGACCTGGATACCATTTTTATAACCTACCTCAGAAGGTGTCTTAGCTAAAACACCAGATGTCGGCACAAGATCCACATATGCATTTGAAATGACGATGTCTCCGGTTTCTTGGGTCTTATATGCGGTACAGAAAGAAAAATAAACCAATTCACTCTGATGATTCCAAGGAAGACACAATGTCATGTGAAATAGTATAAAGTAGCTTAGATAAATTTACATTTTTTCCTCATATAAAAAAGAAAATAATAATCCAAATTAAAAGGAAAGTTCATAAGTTAAATGTTGAGATGAATAAAAATGAAGCCTGATTTAATACAAGTTATTAATGCTAACTCTAGCTCAACTGTAGCTCTTTTAAAAAATATGTATGACCAGGTCCCATCTCCAAAAATACCAGTTTAGATAATTTTGAGTGCAGCCTGAGCACTGAGGGACTTTTAAAAAAAAATACAACTATGTGTCTAATGGGTAGCCAGGGAGAGAACTGCTGAATTCTTAATTAGAAAGCATGGCACAGTATCCACATAAAATAAAAACTGTCTTTTATTCTATGGAAAAAATCATACAGGCTTTTTGGCCAACCCAATGTGTAGTACAACATAATCAGGCCAAAAAGTATCAGCCTGGTAAACTGTATTAACAAAAATGATCCTGAAAAAACTTAAAAATAGCCCTGGCTAGGTAACTCAGTTGTTTAGAGATTTACCCAATCAATATGCCAAAGTTGCAGGTTGGACTCCCAGTTTCACAAATGAGAAATCAACCACTGAATTCATAAATAGGTAAAACAAAATCGATGTTTTTCTCTCTCTCTCTCTAAAAACTCAATAAATTTTTTTAAAACTTACAAATAAAAGGATGGTTGTATGTCCTTTTAGTATTTTACCGGAACACTGCTAACAGACTCACCCAAAAATTACTTAACTCTAAAGGGAGATATATTTTATCTGTACTGTTGCTTATAATTTGGCTTAGACTCTGTCATATAAAATCTTAATTTGTGGATTCTTGTGTGATTAAGTGCACATGATTTCTGCTCAGTAGAAAACATAACCATAAAGGGTACAGTTTTAATATTCTGTAGGACATTAACTGGTTTTGTCTCTAACTCAGAAAAATTATTTTAGAATGCCTTTCCTGTTGGACTACATAAACACTGTTGTTCTAAGTCTCTTTTGAACCAGTTTTATCATCTTACTTGCTAGCTCCCTCATTAAGGAATTAAATAGATCTGTTGTTTTCATTTAAATATCTCTGAGAGCTATGTCATTGACTTGATGAAGACTAGATTTTGACAATCTGACTGCCTGCCTGAGCCGAAAGGATGTGGCTAGATCTTCAGAACAGCTGTACCACTGCTACACAGACAGCAATCAATTCATTGAAAATAAAACAAAATAAAAAACAAGGTACACAGACACCTGATTTCCAAATAAAAGTTGCCACTGATTATACAATCTAGGTTTTGTCTCATATGCACAGTAATAAGCAAAATATATTAGGATGGAAAAAATGATAGGATATAGTGAAGCAGGTAACAAAACACTCATACCTTTGTTTGGAAATGGATTCTATTTCCTTCCTTCCACATCTCAGTTTGTAGAACTTGTCCTGGATACACTGGTTTTGCAAAACGAACCTTTAAAAAAAATGAGTTTTGGGACTGAAATATTTTAAAATGAACTTTTCTGCTTGGGAGGGAAAAAACTGGAAGAGAAGTTAAAGAGCATACAAAAAAGAAATGAGAGGTTTAGATGTACTTAAATTTATAAAGGAATAAAAATAATATGATAAAATTAGCAAAGAAAGAATATAGCTGGCATAAGCTAATTCTTTGTCTTTTCAAGTACAGAGTCAATAAATAATGTTTAATATTGACAGACCAAGAAATGGAAACATAATTATATTTAGTAGCACTACGTAAGGTAATCACCAAATCAAATTAAAGCAGTTAAAAGTGGTATTAACAGGGATGTAAGTAAGGTACATTATAAGGACTATAATCAATAATATTGTAATACAATGTATGGTGTCAGGAGGTATTAGACTTATTGGGGTGATTGATCACTTTGTAAGTTATATAAATGCATACTCAATCATGTGCCATACACCTAAAACTAATATACAATTGTATGTCAATTATAATTGAAAAATAAAACAAAAAGTTGGTACTAATTATGTCTAGGGAATAAGATCTGTGGTGGGTCTATAGAACATATGATTACACTTTTTATTTCATAAATTTCTATACTATGTTATTTGCTTTGTATAATGTTATTGAATAACAATAAAATAGTTAAAATGAAAAGCATGACAAGAGTCAATGCTATCAAAGGTAAGGCATCAGAAAAATGCATTTTCACTGCTACGTGGAACACAAGCTCAAAAGCTCTGGGAGCTATTTGACACTGTATTATTTTTTTAGTATGTATCTCTTCCTCACACTTACACAAAGACATTACCCAGAGCCAGTTTTCTTTGTAATTTATGATGGATGAAAACTTGAAACCACGAAAACTTGAAACCCCTTAAAAGTACAAAAGTTAAATCAATATGCAACCATCATATTGATGGAGGTACATATTTATTAGAGCTCAAATGCAGCCACTTAGCATTTTCAATTAAATAAAGGCAAATTACGAAACAGTTAAAAATTTTTTAAGGTATATCTTAAGTTTTTGTTAAAGCATATATGCTGATATATGTATTGTCCTCATTAATTTGTAATACAATTAGTATGATATGATTATAACTGTGTATGATATGCTTCATGATAAATGTGTAACAGAGGTATTTTTAGCTACAAAAAGAAAATGTGCTAATTGCCAAGTCATAAATAAAAATTGTAATAAAAATGTATATTACTTTAGTATAGTACCTATTTTAAAAGAAGTTACTGAAACTCCTTTTCTTCTCTAAAAATAAAAAACAAAATAACTAATGTCCAAATTATACAGTAATATATGTATACCTTAATTGCTTTGAATCTTGACACATCATTATCTGCAAACTGCTGTAAAACATGCCTGGCAGAAAATCCAAATGTACATAATCCATGTAATATGGGCTTGTTGAAACCTAAAAACAGAGAGAGTTTAGCTAGATATGGATACATTTCATATCTAAAAACCAAGAATAATTAATTCAGGATTTCAAAATATACTTTAAACTGCACTAGCATGAATTATACCTCTTCTATTTTAAGAAATATGGAAACTATTCTAAAAACAGTATTTCCTGGATGAAAATTATGAAATAAAGAAAGAAAAAGAAAAACAAGAATGTTAGAGATCTAGGAACACAAAGCACTGTTTGGTTTAGTTTTAGCTGTAACCATGAAATCATCCATGGTGATTTTAATATCCATGTATGCAGATAACCTTTCTCTAACTTTTCAGTTTCTTGCTCTCTCCTCCAATGACCTTGCCCTTCATAATAACTCAGACACTGACCCCCATAGTCCTATCCTAGACCTTACACTAGCAGGAGTTTTCTATTATAATCTCAATTTCAAATACACCATTTTCCGAACACTATTTCCTCATTTTCCATACCCTTTGCATAAATACATTATGAGATGGCTATTTTTTAAATGTTAAACTGCCAGTCGTAAGTAGCAATGTCTTTAAGTCTTATTTAGATAACTGAGCTATTTTATATTGGTACGTATTATTAGCAACTCACCACTCAAACCGGCAAAGTCAGGATCAATGTGTAATGGATTCCAGTCTCCACTGAGGCGGTACAAAGCAGCCTGAGCAGAAAGAATTATAAATGTAACTAATAGTCAGTGCTTTCTTAGCATACATTAAAAGAAAAACAGGAAACACAGCTGGTTATTGTATACAAAGTCCATTATAATGGACCTGGTTAAAGCTTTGATTAAAAAATAACTATTTCTAACAACAAAAAGACTAACTGTAAATCAAATGTATTTTTGTAACATCTGACACTGAAACCAGTTGAAAGAGGGCTGTCAAATAATAGGAAGGGGAGCTAAGAACTACATCTGGGATAACTTGGTTACCACTGCCTAAGGGGAAATCCACAAAAAGAAATCCATCAGTCTACTCTCATACAAGAAACAGCCAATATTCATTCATGAATAAGAACACAAATCTCTACCTTTGTCTCTCCGTCACGCCCTCTGTCTCTCTTTGTAAAATTAATAAATTTTAAAAAGTTAAGGTCTATTTTAAAAAACACAATTAAGATAAGGTACATGTTTATGGCCTCTTCTTACTAAACAAAATTTATGCCAACTTTTTTAATGGGGTATTTTAAATTGAAGCTTGTAACACAATCTAGACCCATGAATGTCAAAAGCAAAAAGTTCATACAAACTTTCATTCTCCTAGTTAGTACATTAAATCCTGAGCATCAGCTCATCCTGCAGGAAGAGAGACTGGTAGCTTGCCATTAAGATTAAATTTCTGCTTAGTCCAGATTTTCATATCACTTATTTACTTAGATAAGACAAAATTAGCAGAAAGATATAAATAACAACAATAAGTCACCATACTTCCCAGCATTTAAATAGGGCATTGTTCAAACTGGAGAATACTTTTCACTACCAAAGGGAAGAATTTCACAAAGCAGCTGAGTATTTAATGTATCTGTATATTAACTTGGCTCCTTTGGGTTTATCTCAAGACTTTTTCCATCTTATCAATTGCTGTGTTCATCTTCCTAGGACTATTAGAATGTTGTGTATAGACTAGCTATGTCAGTTACCTGACTTTCTTAATTTCTGTAGCTATTTTGTTATCCATAATTACTGATTATTCTTTTTAAATAAATTTTATTTACAGAAATCAACATTAGGAAAATGTCATTTCCTTTTTAATATGCTTTGTACAATTTTTAAATAAGCTCTTTCCCTTCCTCATTATCCCCACATGACAGTTATGAAAATTATTCGTTTTTTCAATAACTCATTATTTTTCCCTTTATATGTCCTCAAAAAATAACTAAATCCAATCAACTATTAAGATTCTGTATAAGAAGTTCAAGATTAAAAAAGGTTCAATTAATTATGAGAATGTAATATTCAAAATCATTTATTCACCTAAGAAAACAATCCCACTTACTATTTCAACACACACAAAAATAAGGTAAATAGGAATAAATTTAGCCAAGGAGATAAAATGCCTATACTCAAAAAATTTTAGAACAGTAACGGAAGAAATTGAGCAAGATACAAATAAGTAGAAGCATATACCATATTGATGGATTGGAAGAATTAGCATCATTAAAATGTTCATGCTACCCAAAGTAATCTATAGATTCAAAGCAATTCCTATTAAAATACCAATGGTATATTTCAAAGATCTAGAACCAATATTCCAAAAATCTATATTGAACCAAAAGATACCCCAAACAACCTCAGCAATCTGCCAAGAACCAAGCTGGAAGGATCAAAACACCTGATATCAAACTATACTATAAGTCCACTGGAATCAAAACAGCCTGGTACTGACATGAGAATAGGCATATAGATCAGTGGAACAGAACACAGCCCAGAAATAAACTCACACCTTTATGGTCAATTAATATTTGACAGAGGAGGCAAGAGGATACAAAGAAGTAAAAAGAGTCTCTTCAATAAATGGTGTTGGGAAAACTGGACTAGTACATGCAAAAAAATGAAATCTACACCACACACTGGAATAAACATAAAGTGGATAAAAGACAATATAAGTCACAATACCATTAAAATTCTAGAGGAAAACATAGGCAGTAAAATTTCAGATACCTTGCAAAGCAATATTTTTGCTGATATATCTCAAAGAGCAAGGGAAATGAAATAAACAAGTGAAATTACATCAAATTAAAAAGCTTCTGCACAGCTAAAGAAACCATCATCAAAATGGAAGAGAACTGACTGTATGGAAGAACATATTTGCCAGTGATACATCAGATGAGGGCTTAACTTCCAAAATATATAAGAACTTATATGACTTAACACCAGCAAGACAAACAACCCAATTACAAATTGGAAAGGGACCTGTATAGACATTTCTCCAAGAAGGGCATACAGATAGCCAACAGACATATGAAAAGATGCTCAACATTACTAATTGTCAGAAAATACAAATTAAAATTACAATGAGATGTCACCATACACCTGTCATAATGGCTATCATCAATAAATCAACAAACAAGTGCTGGTGAGGGTGTGGAAAACAGGGAACCCTTTTATACTGTTTTGGAAATGCAGATTGGTGCAGCCACTGTGGAAAACAGTATGGAGTTTCCTTAAAAAACTAAAAATGGAACTGCCTTTTGACCCAGTGATTCCACTTCTGGGAATATACCCTAAGAATCCCAAAATACCAATTTGAAAGAATATATGCACCCCTATGCTCACTGCAGCATTATTTACAATTACCAAGATATGGAAGCAGCCCAAGTACATCATCAATAGATGAGTAGATAAAAAAGTTGTGGTACATTTACACAATGGAATACCATGAAACAATATGGAAGAAGGAACTCTTACTTTTTATGACACCATGGATAATCCTGGAGACTACTGTGCTAAGTGAAATGAGCCAGTCAGTGAAAGACAAATACCATATGATCTCGCTTATATGTTGAATCTAAGGAACAAAATAAACTAACAAGCAAATAGAATCAGAGGCCCAGAAAACATGGAACAGACTGACAGCTGTAAGAGAGGAAGAGGGAGGTAGGGACTGACTGAAAGCAGGTAAAGGGGTTAGCCCAAGAACATACATGCATGACCCATGGACATGGATGATGGTGTGGGGACTGCCTGAGGGAGTGAGGGTGGGACTTGGTCGAGAGGGACTGAGGGAGAAAAACTGGGACAACTGTAATAGCATAAACAAAATGTTAAAAAAAAAACACATTCACCCATTAAGGGCTTCAAATTACATGAAGTAAAAATTAATGGAACTACAAGGGCAAACAGAAAATCCAAAATTCTATTAAAAGATAAATGATAATTTTTATTTTTTAAGATAATTTTTGAAAGCCTTTTACAAATAATAAAACTCTAGGCAAATATACATTATCATTTACATACAAATTAAAGAAAAGATACACTTCAGAGTCTGAAGGGGTAGTTATCAAACTCATGACAGATTATATAGGCTTTGGCATCAGACAAGTCTGGGTTCAAATACAGCTCTGCCATTAATGGGTAAATTTCTTTATCACCCTAAGACTTGATTTTCTAATATAAAAAACTGGGAGGTTAATAAACCTCTTACAAAGCATCATCCTTGATAAATATTAATACCTCAATAAATGTGAACTATGATTATAAAAACTTTAGCAACAATATATGACGGCCACATTTTTAAGGTTAGTACCAGTATTCTTATACCACAGATGTCATTCCTATAAATGAAAAGAAACTCTTCTAAAAATATCATATTAAAGAAATATGAAAAAAATGTGGTATTATATCAATGATAGCATTGCTTCTTAAAAATAGCAGAGTAAATAAGCAAAAACAAAAAAGATCCATCGTGAGAAATTACTAAAGACAGCAATGACTGGATGTTGGACTAAATTTTGAAATAATGCAAAACAACCATTCTGTGAATACTAATAAGGAATACTGTCAAGGTTTATTTTTCAGAATATTTTAAAGGAACTTTGTATTTCAGAACGAAAGCTGAAAACTTGTTTTGTTTCATTTCTGCCTGCATAAAGAAGTCACTCAAATTCACATAGTCACACACAGACCCAGAAAACAAGAAAAATAACTACCTATTGTCTGACATATATTATATGTGAGTGGGAGGATTTTCTATGTATGAATAAATTAGTTCTTAATTTTTATTTTTAAAAATTGTACCATTAGGTTAAACTAAATGCCAAATAAATTCAGAAATTAGTGCTTCCTAAATCCTCACATCCTCCAAAAATGCTTACAGATCAACAAGAACAAATAAAACTACACAGATCCCAAACCTGCAAAACAACTAGAAAATAGAGAACACCAAAAACTGCAAATTCTTATAAATAGAAAAATAAATACCAACCATCAGCAGAGCTATGCTCTGAACACCCTCACAAAGCTACCATAGAGAGTGGCAGGAAATTGGGAAGGGAGTACAAAAGCAGAACATGGAAGAGAGAAGAGAAAAAGAAAGAAAAATCATTTCTAGACAGAGAAAGTCCACTTTACAGACAAAAATCCTGAGAAGAATCCTAGAAGATTAAAACATGGACTACAGAGAAAAGCATTAAAAGTAAACAGACTTCCAAATGGCAATCCCAAAAAGACAACACTTCTGGGGGATAAGAGAATAAAGCAAAGATGTCCCTTTAAAGACTGGATAGTGAAGGTAAAAAGAAGGAAGAAAATTTATGATCCTGAAAGATAATAAGAACTAAAAGTATTTTTTTGTTAATTAAACACCTCCACACAGTGTCCCAAAATTCACTCAAGAAAATTCACTTTACTACACTGACAGAAGGCAACCCTGAATTCCTTGAAGAGGAATTCTTAGAAACCATCCCAAACTACCAACTTACCCACAAAATGCATATAGGTAAGTAATCTTCATCTGTACAAAGCTACTGTAAGACTAAAACGGAAAATAAACTAAAACATCGCAACAAATGAAATTTCCCCAAACCAAAAAAACTACCAAACGGAAGGAAACTCTAACACTCAAGCATTTGAAAATATAAAACAAAATCCTTGAATCTGAAATTCAAAAACTAAGACTACAAATGGATAACAAACATTAAGAAATGAGTTAAAAGATGATTAAACTAAAAAAAAAAGAAATGTAAGAAAATATCAGAAATGAAGACTAAATTGTAAGACAAAGATACTCAAATAAAAATTTACTAAGAGGCAAAGAAAAAAAGGGAGGAAAAGAACCAACAAAATGGAAATCAAGAAAGAAGTTAAAAAGGACAAATGGTTGAAAGACAGAAAACGATCCAAAGGAGAAAAATAAAGCAATGAATAAGAACTAATATTTAAAATCATAATCCTAGAAAACTTTTTGAAAATAAAAGAAAATCTGAATATATATAAAGTACCCCAACTACATGGGAAAATTGACCTGGCATGATCAACACTGAGGACTATTCTAGTAAAATTATTAGACTTTAAATATAAAAAATATGTATTTCTAAGGGTCTCAAGGATAAAAATCAAGTAACTTAAAGAAAGGTCATTAGAGGTGGCATCAGACTCTCAAAAGCAACAGATAAAGCAAGGGAACACCCCTGGCCAGGTAGCTCAGTTAAGAGTGTCATCAGACACAAAAAAAGGTTGTGGGTTTGATCCCTGGACAAAGCACATAACTAGGTTGCAGGTTCAATCACTCTTGAGGTGCATACAAGAGGTGGCCAATCAATGTTTCTCTCTTACATTGATGTTTCTCTTTCTCCCGTCCTCTCTCTCTAATTTCAGTGAGCATGTCCTTGTGTGAGGATTAAAAAAAAAAAAAAGGCAACAATAAAACACAATTTTATAAAAACTCAAGATTTCATATCCAGCCAAGCTGCCCTTCTAATATCTAAGGCACCGGTGGCAAACACAAGGCCTGAGGGCCAAATCTGGTCCTCCACCTTGTTTTATCCGGCCTGGCACCTTGTTTCTACCTGGCAGCAATGCCAAGCTCTCACGTGACTGTTAAGGAGTAGTTCCATTTACACAGCCCTAAAATTACATTCGGCCCTTTGAAGACAACCTCGAGGCTGATGTGGCCACTGCTAAAAATGAGTCTGATGCCCCAATCTAAGGTATACAAAAACAGTTTTAAATACACAGAAGCCAAAGGAATACTACATATGAGGCCTTCCTTCTTGGAGAAAACTACCAGAGGATAAGCTTTATCCAACCTGGAGATGATGCAAATCCTTCGGCAAAAGAGTTAGTATATAAGACTAAAAAAAAGATGCAAATATAAGACTAAAACAAAGATGCAGAAAAAAGTAAAAGAATAATATATTAACGTTAAATGTTCTGAAACAGCAATGAATTAGTGAATATCAAAAAATGGGAATAATATGGGAGACAAAAAAACAAAGAAATAAAATAGGCTCCTTAACTGCTATATATGAAACAAGTAGAAAGCAAAGGATAAGTAGAAAGTAATAAAACTGAAAAACTAGATAGTAATAAATGAGAAAACTAAGCACTAAGGGTATATAAGAAGGTACAGGCCTTCCATTTCTGGCCATAATGGAGCTCCTGGAATGGGCTTAAGTCTTCCACTGTAAATAACTAGAAAAAAATGTGTTTTGAAGGGGAAGGGAGACACTGCTCTTAGACACTGGACAGTAGGCAGTGCAGGTTTATGATTCTTGATATAAGAGAAACAAAAGAGATGAACCACCACTCCTTGCCTGATGGTACTTTCCAGACTGCAGTATAAGAAAGGAAACCCAAACACAGCAAAAAGTCCTACTGAGTCAAACAGATAAAGATCAGAGCGCTCTAGGAGACTCAGCTGGAATGTGTAGGTACTGAAGAGGAACTACAAAGAAGAGCTCCAGAGATCTAAATAGAGGTCCCTTTGGTGGTCATACAGATGAGACACCTTGTGGAAGATTACAGGCACCCCAGACAACAGTCAGCAACAAGACCCTATACTGTGCAAGAAGCCACCTTGGACCTTCTGGCCCTGCCCAGCCCACTATCTGAGAACAGCTGCAGGAGTGACAGCAAATACAGTGCAGAAGGACCACCCAGTCAATCCACAGAGATGTGAAAAATAATAAAATCATTTCAAAACAAAACAAACTAAAAAAGGTAGTACATATAATAAATTTAATACTTTTATTTTAATTTATAGTATAACTATAATAATAATGTTATAGCATTATTACAGTATAACCATAATAATAATAACTTATTTAATAATGATGATAATGAAGATCCTAATTGTTAGAGTAAATAGTACATGTACAGGGGGAAACTAGTTACTTGTTTTCACTCTCCCCAAATGCAAGGCCTAACATCTCATACTGATTGTTTGTTCTGTCTAGATAACTGGAGATAAATTTTCTATTTATTATGAAAACTATAAAGTACACTTGTAATCTCATACCAGCTTGAAAATGAAGAGTCTCCTAAAGACATCATAAATACAATATTCCAGAGTAATATTAGTAGAGTTAAAAATATGGTGGCCAGCTTCCATACTGATTGAAAAGTTGCAGTACTCATTAATATACCTAGCACAAAGTTAGTCCTTCTTACGTCCACTTCTCCTTAAAGATAAGCCCATCTGCAATCACCTCCCACTACTCTCCAATGTAAATACTCTAATTCTTACTTCTTGTACACATCAGGCTCGTACAGTCTGCTCTCATTACTTCTTATCCCCTTCCTGGCCTCACTGCAAGCCCTACATCTCTGGTAAGAGAAAATATCTACACAGCATTTTAGGTCAGCAAGCTCCATCTTTCCTACCAAACCCTTCTGTATATCATTCCCTAATACACATTCCCTCTGAATGCCTACAGCACTTGCTCTACAATTCAAGGCCTGTATTTTCAGCATTCGTTATTTGGAACAGGTGCCCTAGCTATTCAGGTATCTACGTCTTGAGTGTCCTTTTAGCTCCTTGAAAAGAGATCACATTTCTTCTACTTGTTTGTATCTCCTACAGCACATATCCTGTTTCAAAAACCCAAACATCCTCTAAAATTTATGCAAAGTTTTATGCAAAATGTTTTTTGAAAAAATAGTATGTAGCTTTCATCGTATTCTTGGATGACCATATGATACAAAACAGTAATCTCTGTCAAATAATGACTGCCCATTATACATACAAAAATATTTGTTAACACCATGCAGCAAAACAGTCAGCTCTGCTAAAAGCTAATAAAAAGTTCTATTCCTCTGAAAAAGTAAAGAAAAATTTCTCTACTTCTGTGTGTAGAAATTCAAGCCTTGGAAACTATTCAGCTTTTCTTCTCTATAGCAAATATATTTTATTATTTCAATAACCCAAGAATAATAAAAGAACATTGGTGAATTTTCTGCACCATGAAACCATGAAGCATTTTCTGTTCTTTAGTGCCCTAAAAAGTTTGATTTTACTACGAAACTTTAATTAATCATAAATACAGGAGCATTATTAAGAAATTCATCAGAAACAGAAATTGGAAAAACATTTAAAAGCAAAAACTAATCTGAAGAAGAATTCTCTCCATCATCCAATTATACAGTGTAGAAAAATACAATTAATGTGTACCATCCTTAATTCTTTCTGGCTCATGAAACTATATTTTTATTTGCCAGCAAACATAAATCCTGCAGAAGTTCTCAAGACAAGCATATCAAAATAAGCATCAAAAAAAAAAGGAGCTTTTTAAATACTCTGCTGTCATTACATGTTCTCTCACAGAATAACCAGAGCTTTACATATTCTATCCTGTCTCTGCATAGTTGGTCTTACTGGTCACTTTAGGAAATAATCTTCAGGTTTCTCAAAAACAAAGTTGTTTTTCTCATCCTTATGGCTACCTTTTGTTTCTTAAATAAGTCTCTACATACAGAATTTGTTAACTGACAGGGCATTTTATATCCACCATCAGAAAACAAATTATTTGTATCAAACAAAAAAGATTAAATCACCTACCCCTTCTAAGATGCTTTTGTTTTGACTATCTGCTAAAGTTAGCATAATATAATCTGATTCCAAGCAATGAAGCTTAGCTTGTTTTCCCAATAGAGGAAAGGATGACTAAAATTTACCTTTGTATTCTTTTCTACCCCACTCTCTAAAGCTTTCATAAAATTCTTCACTACTGAATGACAGTCTCCCTAGGCATGCAGTTCATCACCAAGAAAGCATGACGCTTTTTGGACTAATGAAAAACCATTTTATATTATCTTTTGATACCTAATGGAGAAAAAAATTATAAATAAAAATTTAGAAAAAATGAATTCCAACCACAAAAGTTTTTTTTTAATAGGTTGAAGGACACAGGCACTACTTTTGGACTCACAAACTTATAGGATGTCAAGAGTTCTTAATTAAAAAGTATCAGAAGTCAGGTGGCTTTATCACTTTTTAAAAATATAATCTTACCTGATCAAGTGAGGTGGTGTCTCTAACTACAGCATCAGGATGTCTATTAGGTATGGCTACAGCTTCCTGAAATAAAAAAATACATTGAATGTTAAATGCTAACAAGTAATATTTATTTTCTTTACCCAAACTAGTATTTGATAAGCAACCATGTTTTAAAGTAACAAAATCAGCAAGTTGGATGACAAATTTTTAAAAACATATTTTATGCTCAGGAGATACTGATGTTTAAAGTTTCATAACAGCTACCTTCATCTACATTATGGTTTCTCTGTTTAAGGAAAGAAATTATATAATGAGATCCATTCTCTAGGCCACAAAGGAAAAAAAGGTAAAGACTCTTTTCCAAACAATGCAAAAGATGATGATAACTATAAAACTTAGACAAAGAATTCACATCCAAATTGATTTAATCTTTAAATGCTCATTAAAAGAGTACAGATCTCTTTGCACTTATAGCCTATTTGGAGTTGGATGAACTTCTTGGATATGTAGATTGTTTTTCATGAAAGTCATTATCCCCTTAATTATTTTTTCTGCTTTCTTCTCTCTCTCCTCTCGTTCTGGTCCTCCTGCTGTTGGTATCCCATGTTTCTCTAAGGCTCTTCATTCTTTTTTCTTTCCCTTCACCTCTTCTCTGTCCTTCAGACAGATATTGACAAAGACGGAATAGACAGATCTTCAAGCTTTTGGATTCTTTCCTTTGCCAGTGCAAATCTACTGTTGAGCCCTTCTAGTAAATTCTTCATTTCAGTTATTGTACTTTGAGTGTCTGCACTTCTATTTGGTTCTTTTTCATAGTTTCTATTTATTGATTTTTCTCTAGTTGATAAGTCACTGTCAACATACTTCCTTTTGCTTCTTTAAGCATGGTTTCCTTTAGTTCTTTGAACATATAATAGCTGCTCTGAAGTTTTTGTCTACTATAAAGTCCACTCAAAGGTAGTTTCTGTGCCAGTTTTGTTTTGTTAACCTTGCCTATGGGTCACACTCTCATTTCTTTCATGTGCTATAATTTTCTGCTGATAACCGGACATTTTAGATAATATATTGCAGTAAATGTGGACACTAATTACCCTTCCCTCCTAGGCCTGCTGTTATTATTTATTAATGACTTGGCTAACCTATTTTAGTTAAGTCTATTTCTCCCATAGTGTACAGCCTCTGATGTTGCTCCTCATAGGGTGTAGCCTTTGGCGAACGGCACTCTGGGATGACAGTGATTTTGGCAGAGCTCTCTGTGACTGTCTCTCCCTAATGTGTTCAACTGTCTGCCTCTTTTGGTATCATACCCAGATGACAGGCTCCAATAACTGCCAGATCATTGCTCTATTATTTTAAACAATGCCTTAGGCACAAATTGCTCCAAGATCTGATCCAATTAAAGCCAGACCTCTTGTTAGTCATGATGGCAGCATAGGTAAATGTGGTACTTGCATCCTCCCACAACCACATCAAAATTACAACTAAACTACAGAAAAACCATCATTCAAATCCCCTCAAATCTAAATGAACAGAAGTCCTACAACTAGGGATTAAAAGAAGGAGCCACACAGAGCCTGGTAGGAGTTGTGGAGACACAGAATAGCTGACCTCACACCAATGTGTGGCAGATAAAAATTGGGAGGGTATCTCAACTGTAGAGGTCCCTCCTGAGAAGCAAAGGGTCCCAGCCCCACACCAGGCCTTCAAGTCCAGGGTTCCAGTACCACACGAAGAGAAGTCCCCATAACATATGGCTATAAAAACCAGTGGGGAGTGAGACTGAGTGTGAAGACTGAGACTGAGAAGAAGGGCTGCTAAGTGCCTGGCATTCCTCTTAAAGGGCCAGTGCATGGACTTACTTGGACTCCGTCCGTCTCTCCGTCTCTTGGAGCTCCAGCACTGGGGCAGCAGCTCCAAATGCACCAGAGATATACAAGGAGGAACTGAATTGTCTGTTGTCAAGGCTAGAGCTAGAGTGGAGTGCTGGAAGAGGCCATTGTTCCTTTTCTAAGACCAACCCCCAACAGAGCCAGCAGGGGAGCATCATATCTGGGTCTCCATCAACCTGGTTCATAGCTTGTGCCACACCCTGGTGATTCCCTTAGGTAGCCCCCAACCAACTGTGGGCCCACCCAAGCTGTTTCCAGTGGTTTTTCCCAATCGAATAGCCTATCTTGGCTCATGCTTGAGACTGTCCTAAAATCTCTCATACAAGCAGCATCTGGCCACAGCATGCCCCATACCTCTAACTAAGTGGTCCCAGGCTGGGCACTAGCATCAGCCAGCCTTGGTTCACAGCTTAGCCTTGTCTGGGCATCTCTAAGCCCAGCACAAGTAGTAGCCACCTGTGGATCATTTTGTGACTCTAGGCAGAACACGAGTCGCAGCTGACCTGGGTCTGCACCTCCCAGGAGGCCCCCGAGCCAGTGCACTTGTTGAATAGCTTCAGACCATGTCACAGCACCACCCAACCACCTCCACAAGTTACACACTCAAGGAGAGGACTCAGTGAACACCAGAGTCCCACTGAAGTAAGTCCTGCTCTATTGGGTGGGCCCCTGAACAGCTTATCCCCCATGGTGTTGGTGATAATAGGTGCAGCTGCAATGATCCTCACAGCTGATCATTCTGTGGGTAAATCCCTCCCATTGTGTCAACAGCAATCAAGATTCAAGTACAACAGGAGAGTGTACACAGCCCACAGGGCAGAGCAGACCTGGAATGACCAGCTTGGGTGACTGGGGAGGGTGTGTCACTGGACCCTTTAGAACACCTATGACACAAAGCTATTCTACCAAGCCCAGGGGACATAGTAACTCCACCTAATACACAGAAACAAACACAGAGAGGCTACCAAAATTAAGAGACAAAGAAACATGTCTCAAATGAAAAAACAGGACAAAACTCCAGAAAAAGACAAAATGGAGAGAAGCAATCTACTAGATAGAGTTCAAAACAATCGTTATAAGGATGCTCAATGGACTTAACGAGAACCTCAACAGCATAAAGGGATGTTGTTGGGAATGGCCCTGCCTGGTTTCAGAAGCTGTAACCCCCATGGCTAAGGCTGACTGGGCCACCTTTGGACCATAAGCCACTAAGGAGACAAAGCTTATCTCCCTGGCAGGGGCACACCGCTTCTGCTCCTTTTACTTCATCCATAACTGGCCCCCAATGCTTGGTCGGTTAGCCAATAATGGGTAAGATTCCCCAAGGGGGGAACAACCTAATACAGGCACAATCACATGGAAGCCCCAGGGAAGGACTTGGGGGGCTACAGCAAAAGGGAATGATAGACCCTCGCCCCTCAGCTTTCACAAAGCCTGAGTCCTCATTCTGTCTGTGAGAAGTCTCCTAATCTGTTGGCTGCCTTACCACCCCCACCTGACTTAAGCCTGAGACAATGCCTTAAACCTGAAACAATGCTGGTGGTGAGTACCGCCCTGTGCTAGAAAGGACAGGGTCCCTAGGGCGATCAGGCCTAAGAAAGAATATATAAAATCCTGTGAAACATGCTTTGTTTATAATGCTCTCAATTAAATAAGGGTCCAAGCAAGAAGTGAGTTTGTTCCTCAAAGTTTTATAGCTCTTTAGCTATCTGACCCTGACTCAAAATAGGCCCTCAGAGTTCTTTGTTATCTATTGTTTGATCCTTACTGCCTGACAATGATTAATGAGCTTTACCTATATTCCTGTGCAAAACAAACCTAATGAAAACCCATTGAGGAAAAGGCTCCTGGCCCTTCTCCTTTGAGAGATCGGCCACCTTTCCTCCCCAAGCAGATCTTGTCTTGGTACACTTATTCTCATCTGTGGCAGATGGGGGGCTCTCCGGGCAAAGGTCCCCCACAGGACATGGAAACCATTAAAAAAAAGTTCAAAATGAATGATACACTAACTGAAGTAAAGAAAAATTTACAGCAAAGCTACAGCAGAGTACATAAAGCTGAAAATCAATTCAACAATGTAGAATATAAGGAAGCAAAAAACACCTAATGTGAAGAGCAGAGAAAAAAGAATCCAAAAACATGAGGACAGTGTAAGCAGCCTCTGGTACGACTTCCAGAATACCAACATTCACATCATTGGGGTGCCAGAAGGATAAGAGAGAGAGCAATAGACTGAAAACCTACTTGAAAAATGAATGACACTTCCGGCCAAGATGGAGGTGTAGGTAGACACACTGTGCCTCCTCACACAACCAAAACTAAGGACAACAAAAATTTAAAAACAAAAAAAACAACCAGAACAGAGAGAAATGAATTGAATGAAAGTCTGACAACCATTTATCCAGACCTGTAAGGAGGAGTGGAGTCAGATGTCTATGGAGAGGGGTCGAGGGGTCCTGGCCTAAAAAAGCAGTGGCTGGCAGACGCGGGGGCACAGGGCACAGACGGCAGTTGGTGGACCCCAGAAACGCAGAGGCAGCTGACGGACCCAGCGGCAGACCCTGGGTGCGAGAGGCAACGAGCAGACCTAGTGAGGGGCACAAGGCAACTGGCTGTCCGCGGTCACACATTCACGCGCAGATAAACTAGGCGAAAATGGGCAGCGACACAGACCAAGCAACCCAGGGACCCAGCACCAGGAAACAAAGCCTAAAAGCACCAATTAAAAACACCTGTGGGGGGTTGAGGCCAGGAGAATCAGCCTCACAAGAGAGCTCCTTGGGGAGACCCAGAGTCCTAGAAAGTACACAAGCCCACCTGCCCGGGAGCCAGCACCAGAGGGGCCCAATTTGCTTAAGCAGGTGCCATTGTTCCCTCTTGGACCCTGCCCCCACATACAACATCACAACCCAGCTACTGAGGTGCCCCACCCTGCTGAACACCTAAGGCTCCACCCCTCATATGCAACAGGTGGTGTAGGAGGGTGCAGCCAAAGGGTCCCCAAATAGAGATTTGGAATGGGGTTCAGAACTCAAGATGTCCACGAAATATTAGAAAAATATAGAGAATGTCCTCACCCCCACCCCCCAGGTGTGGGTTGGGGAAAGGGACAAATGAAGCAGGGCCATTGAGAGCTGTTTCACATAGCAACAGCCTTGCAGCTACCCTCTGGCATGGTCATTTAACATATCTCTAACCTTTAACTGGTTGCGCAGATATGTTAAATAGCTCTGACCAGCTATGAGCCAGGGGAATGGAAGTAACTTCCCCACCAAGATGTAAATGGGGGGCAGGTCCCCCGAGTTACAGCGCCTACGTGGGAGCTCAGAGAAGATTGGCTCCAGGACATGGGGCCACGCCTGCCCCGACTCACAATGGCAGTCCAGTAAAGCTGGAAGGCTTTGAGAGTTCTGACATGTGAAGCCGAGTGTGGGAGGAGTCCAAAATGGAGCTGCAGAGGAAGATTGGTGCGGGGATTAAAACCCAGACATGGCAGCCATTGGAGAGAGAACCATGAAGCTGTGGCAATGCAGGGAGGACAGCAGTCACTGAGGAGAGAACCATGCGGCTTTAGCAGAGTGGGGACTCCCACAGCCATGCAGACACCATCCGCCATGCAGCTGCCTGCGGCTCCTCTACCGCCCGGCTCGGAGCCCCAGTCGGCTCTGCAGCCACAGCCACGAGAAGGGGCCACCAGTAAGTGACTCGGGAGCACCGGGTCACTGCCCGGCTGCCACAGCCACCACCAGGCCTCCGCACGCTGCGCCTGCGCTCTCACCGCTCGGGCTCAGCCAACCTCTCAGCCACCTGCTCTGGCCAGGACACGATGAGCTCCACACTAGCCCTCTTGGTGGTGCTGCCGCTGCCGCTGCCGTAGCTCTCCCAGAAAGGGGGATCAACCCCCGGCCCCCCGCAGCCATGAGAAGAATCACCACAAGCCTTTAGCTGGAGATCCTGGCAACACAACCAATGGTGCTGGGAACTGAGGAAGGCCTGCCAGCTGAGCACAAATTACTAGGAAAAATCGAGAGCTGCCTAAGCCACGGACTTCTATTTCTTTTCCTGAGATACGGTACCCCAGACTGGGCAAAGGGGGGAAGGAAGGACTGTGTGTGTTTGTGGGTGTTTCAAGGGACTTTGGGATTTTAACAAAGACATTAAGTCATTACTTTTAGTCTGTATAACTTGAATAAATAACTCTTTTCTTTTTCACCAATCTCTAGCATGGAGAGCTATAATTCTCTGGCTTAGGGAAAGGTGAACCTAGTACAGGGGGACCCCAGGAGAAATGGGGATCAATTCTGTAGCATTGTGGGACCCTCTTCCCTGGTGGCCAATCGGGAAGGATCATGGGAAACCACATGCGCAGTAGCTTTAAAGTAATGCAACTACTTGCATATGCTCAGTAAAAGCCCACCAAAACTAACCAGAAAGGATCCGCCCTATAAGAATGGAATCCCTCCAGCCCATGAGGTCAATCTCTGCTTGGAGTTGGCCTGCTCCCATGTTCTCTGCTCTAAACTCTGGGTGTTCGGTTCAATTCTTTGTCCCGAACACTAAGAATCTGGTTACCTGTGCCCACCTGTGACAGCGAGACCATACCAATAGGCACGGGGCGGGGGTGGGGGGGAAGAAGATGGCTCAAACAGAATTAAAAGCCCCTTGGCCACTACTTTTAAGCAAACAAAAGATAGCCGACCTATCAGATGCACAGTTGAAAGCATTGGTGATCAGAATGCTCATAGAACTGACTAATTTTGGTCGCAAATTAGATGAACAAATGAAGGCTACAATGAGTGCAATGAAGAAAAATGCACACAGAACCAATAGTGATGGAAAGAAAACTGGGTTTCAAATCAATGGAATGGACCAGAAGGAAGAGAGGTACAACAAAACAGAAAAGAATGAAGAAACAAGACCTCAAAAAATGAGGAGAGGCTTAGGAACCTCCAGGACATGTTTCAACGTTCCAACATCCAAATTATAGGGGTACCAGAAGGAGAAGAGGAAGAGCAACAAGTGGAAAAGATATTTGAACAAATAATAAAGGAGAACTTCCCCATTCTGGCAAGGGAAATAGACTTCCAGGAAGTCCAGGAAGCTCAGAGAGTACCAAAGAGTTTGGACCCAAGGAGGAACATGCCAAGGCACATCATAATTACATTACCCAAGGTAAAAATGAAGGAGAGAATTCTAGAAGCAGCAAGAGATAAGGGGACAGTAACCTACAAAGGAGTTCCCATCAGAATGTTAGCTGATTTCTCAAAAGAGACCTTATGGGCAAGAAGGGGCTAGAAAGAAGTATTCCAAGTCATGAAAGGCAAGGACCTACAACCAAGATTGCTCTATCCAGCAAACCTTTCATTTAGAATGGAAAGGCAGATAAAGTGTTTCTCAGATAAGGCCAAGTAAAAGGAGTTCATCATCACCAAGTCCTTATTATATCAAATGTTAAAGGGACTTATCTAAGAAAAAGAAGATAAAAAATATGAACAGTAAAAAAAGACATCAAACTCACAGTTAGTAACAACCACACCTAATTATGAACAGAACCACAGAAATGGAGATCACATGGAGGGTTAGCAACAGGGGAGTGGGAGGAGGAGAGAGGAGGAAAAGGTATGGAGAATAAGTAGCATAGACGGTAGGTAGAAAATAAACAGGGGGAGGGTAAGAATAGTATGGTAAATATAGAAGCTAAAGAACTTATGACACATGGACATGAACTAAAGGTGGGGAATGTGGGTGGGGGGGTGGGCAGGGTAGAGGGGAGTGAAGGGAGAAAATGGGACAACTGTAATAGCATAATCAATTAAATGTATTTAAAAAAATGAATGACAGAAACCTTCCCTAACCTGGTGAAAGAAATAGACATACATGTCCAGGCAGCAGAGTCCCAAACAAGGTGAACCTAAAGAGGCCCACACCAAGGCACATCATAATTAAAATGCCAAAGGTTAAAGACAAAGAGAAAACCTTAAAAGCCACCAGAAAAAAGCAGTTGGTTACCCACAGGAGGGTTCTCACAAGATTTTCAGCTGATTTTTCAACAGAAACTCAGAAGGCCAGAAAGTAGTGGCAAGAAACATTCAAAGTTATGAAAAGCAAGAACCTACAACCAAGATTAATTACTCAACCTAGCAAAACTATCATTTAGAATTGAAGCACATATAAAGAGCTTCCCAGACAAGAAAAAGCTAAAGGAGTCCATCACTACCTAACCAGTACATGAAATGTTACAGGATGTTCATTAAGAAGGAAAAAATTAGATCACTATGAACAATAAAATGGCAATATCTACCAACATAAATATCAACAATCTAAAAACAAAATAAACAAACAAGCAGAACAGAAACAGACTCACAGATGCAGAGAACAATTTATCAATTGACAAATGGAAGGAAGGATGAGTGAAAAAGAAGGGATTAAGGAGTACCTTTAGTTGTTACAGAACAGTTGTAGGGATATAAAGTAGAACATGGGGACTGTAGTCAATAATAGTCTAATAACTATGTATGGTGTCAGATGGGTGTGAGATTTATCAGGATGATCACTTAGTAAGTTGTATAATGTCTAATCACTAAGGTGTACACCTAAGCTAACATACTACTGTATATCAACTTAAATTGAAAAATAAAAATATTATAAATAAATTATAAAGTCAGGACTCTTTACAGGGGTAGTCAGTTTTCAAGGCTAGTCTTAAAGGTGTGTTAGGATCCTATGAGGTCTCTACTTAGCTGTCTCATTCTATGGTTCTCTCTAGTAAACTTCAAGTTAGGCTAGTTTAATTTACTGCTCTCATGGACCTACCAGCCTCTTCTTCATTATCACTAAAGTAACCTTATTTTTGAAGATATCCTTTGAACTTCCAAATATTCTGTTCCATAATGAGTCGGTTTCCTCGGGAAAAGCTTCAGAGCTCTCATTATTACAGCTAGCCTTGCCCTTTGGGCAAAAACTCTGCACCACTGCAGCAAAGATGAAGGCGGAGATGGTGGCTCACCTTTCTCCAAATAATATCCTCACTTTAAAAGCAGGATGCTAGACAGGAATAGTAACTTCTGGTCTTTCAGCTTGCCTCTGTCAGCATGGAACCCCCACTCTATGAACTAGCTGGGACAAGAAAGACTAGGGCCCTGCATTCCCAGTCTGCCATGGGTGGAACAGAGTTTCTGCCCTACAAGGGTTAGCTGGTCAGAGGAACACAAAACACAGCCACTTTTACCCAGCATGGAGCTTCTGCATCCCCAGCTGGTGGGGGAATGACAAAAACTAGTGACATGCTCCTCCAGGGAAGGCAGCATGGCCTTATTCTGGGAGCTAAGAGCAGAGAGATCCTGTATTCTCAGTTGCATATGCCTGAAGTGAAGCTTCTATGATGCTGAACCAGGGGAAGAGGAAGGAAGGAGAGAGTTGTGGCTCAAATGCCACAGATTCTCACTGCTCTAAACAAGATACAGACGTTGAATAGGTATTTCTTCATTTGTTAATTCCCTTAGAACAATTCCCGGAAACTTTAAACTTTCTTTTTTTATATTTAATTTTTACCAGTTATGATTGTTTCACTGGTGAAAGGGTCTAACGAACTCCTCACACCATGATTCCAGAAGCAGTCTCTCGATTCTGTTTTGATGCCTTATGTATTCCAGAAGAATATTTATTACAGTATAATCTTACTACCTCAAATAAATTAGAGGTAAAGGCCAGGTTAAATTTGTGTCATAATCCAAGTTCTAAAATATTTTTAGGAAAAACATGTTTTTAAATACAATTTGGGAACTGAAGAATAACTAGAATTGTCTTACACAAGTGAAATGCTTACATCATTTAATGAATGAAGATTTTAATTTCTATAGGAATCATTTTGTACATGTTAGGATTTTCTAAAGACTTCTGGGTGCTGCGAAGTTTGTGTGAAAAAGTAAAAATATATTCATAATATCTCAGGTATATCACACTTACCTTAGTCAGACTTTGCTATATGTAATATGTTATATATTAAAATATGCAAACATAAACAGCATTTCAAATCCAAGGAACATATTCTGATTGATAGAAATGTAAATTACTGAGCCTCTATTGTATGAAATTATATGTATGGTGAAGCAGTAAATTCAAAATATAGATAAGGATCCTTAACTGCACATTTATTCTGCTTATAAAGCCATAGCCTACCTTGACTTTGTCCGATGTCCGTTTTCCACCAACACCTCCAGAGCCAACAACAAATAAAGAGAACTGATTATAACATATAAGTTCCTTCCCAGAATAAGAATGGACTGAAAAGTAAACAAAAAAAATTTTAAGTTATCAAAAGATGTAACTAGATAACCAATCAGCAATTCCTTTAAAAGTTTTGAAAACAAAATGCAATTACTAAAAGGTTTTGTAATTTAAAGATGCTTGAGTTTGGATTACAACACATTCATTTTAATCCACTCAGTAGCAGCTGCTGGAAGGCAGACAGATGATGTTCACAAACCCTTTCTTGACTATGAAGTAGCAGCTTCTCTCACCTATTTTTAAACCTCACAACTTTAATATTTCAATTCTCTCCATCTCAAACATTTCAAACAGTCCTACTATAAATTCAGGTAACCTCACAGTCAAACTTTCAAACAGTCTGCCAAAGCACTCAGAAAGAGCCTGGAATGTAAAACAGGAAAGAAGTGAGAACAAAGGGATAAGCTTCGGGAGGGCAGGAACATGGCTGTTTTGCTCACTATCATATTCCCAACAATTAGAATAGCTGGGACAAAAAAGACACCTAATAAATATTTATTAAATTAATTAATCAATGGATAAATGACAATTGAGCAAGTTAGTGGACAAGTAAGCAAGTAATACAGGAACCTAAGACAGCTGCCCTCTTACTACTGACTAATTTCCTGGAGAGAGTTTGAGTATTATCTATATCTCCAGCTCTAGAAAACCAGGAATATGAATTTGAATTGCATGATAGGAAAAATCCCATTATGACGAAAAATAAGGGAAGTCATAGCAATTTGTATTTAAAATAAAATTTTTGTCTTTATTACATAAGAAACTGTATATCCAACTTTATCTATGCCTTACATACAAATTCTAATACATTATTACACACTGCCAAGCTACAGTTCAATAAATGGATTAGGTCAAGAGCAAACAGTAAAAGTTAAAGCTAAGGTTACTGCAGAAGTTTTGTTTTATGGTGCATTACTTTTGGTAGGATAGTGAGAAGGCTAAAAGAAAACTGGGAGAATTACAGCCAAATACTGGCCAACATTTGGAATGACAAGAAAATTTTAAAAATCTAGAAAAGAAGAGAAGAGGAGGAAGATAAAAAGAGGAAAAGGAGAGATAACCAACATATGATGAAATACTATTAGTTAACAAAAACAATGTAGCAGAATATTTAAGAGCATCAAAAATGTTCTCAATATATTAAGTGAAAATAAGGCCGGTTCCAAAACAGCATCTACAGAATAAACTATGTACTCAGAACAAAAATGATAACATCTATATTCCAAATATCAGACGGTATTAAACTTTCCACTGCCATTATTTCTAAAATTTGATAATATCTATTTCTTTTGTTCTGAAACTTTAAAAAAATTAATTTTAAGCAATGTATCTATAGCTCAGATTTAATTAATAGTATGTCAAAATTTATTAAACTACTCTATATTTTTTCCACTGCAAATATAATGTGGCTGGGGTGTTTAAACCACATTATGAATTCAATAGGCCTAAATGATTCAGGGGTCAAATATGTTCCAACTTCCAAAGAGCTAACATAGAAAAGCATATGTACAATACTGCTTAATTATCAACTGAGGGCTATCTATGTGTCCCTTCCTGTCAAAAACTTACTCCAGCAAGTATAATTCTCTATGTTCTTCAAACCAGCCACATTTCTTCTGTGCTTTGGTTATATTGTCTCAAATTGCCTGAAATGTCCCACTGTCCCTACCCTGGACCCCAATCTACTCCTTTTTCCCCTCCTCCCTTATTTTCTAAAAAAGTTTATAAATTTTAGATTGCTTATCTTGCTTTCCCACAAACTGACAAATACAGACTTACTAATCACTTCTATGGTGAAGTATTATGTTATACACAAAGCCTATCAGTTTAACAATATTGTTATAAGAATTAGAAATGAGTTACCATCCACAAGAATTACTAAACCGGATCCTTTATCTAGGATATCAGCAACAACTGTTTCACATCTTAATTTTCCTAAAATGAAAAGTAAAATAAATAAATAAATAAATAGACTGTTTTAAAGACCATAGTAAATGAATAGGCTGTGTTAAAAAACGTAAGTTAAGACATGAAAGAATTTAACATAATTTCCACCAGAAGTTCAACAAAACTAAAAAGTATGGTTTGAAATAATAATTTTCAATCAGAATACCTGAGTCACTAAATTTGAAACATCAGTAATTCTGATAAATTAGATTTTAGGAAATAACAATTTTCAATCATCTAACAAACGTTTATTAAGCATACAACTGATACCATTTACCCCATTCCTTCTCAAATCTCTACTGGATTCAATGAGACATTGTTTCTCTCTAACCATTGGGTATTTTTATGCCTCTTCTTTCCTTCATTTAACTGGTGATGTCCTGATGGATCTTCATTGTCTGGGAGTGAACTCGTCTTTTTCTCAAACCTGCTTTTCTCTTTTGTTCCATATACGGATGAAAGGTGTACCCACACAATAGCCCAAGCCAGAAACTTGAGCACCACCACCAACTTACGAAATAAGTTAGATTATACTAAAAACTTTTACTTCATCCTTAAGTCTACGAAGAGCCATCTGTGGTTTTTAATAAGGAAGTGACACACATTTGCATTTTGGAAATATTCTGGCTACAGTGTGGTGAATAGACCTAATGGGAACAAGGATGGAGGCAGAAAAAACACTTAGAAAGTGAGAGGTGGTGGTGGACTAAACAAAGAAGTAGAAGTGGAGGTGGACAGAAATAGCAGGATTCAGATATACTGAAGGGAGAGAATCAAAGAACTCGGTAATTGTCTGGATGTGAAAGATGGTAAAACAGAAGCCAAAGTTGGTATCCATATTGGCCACAATCGCCTCCTAAACAGCTCTCTGACCCACCCACTTCTTTCCGTCTCTCCACTACCACCTTAATGCAAGCTACCGTCATTTCACTGGAACTACCACAACAGACTTAAATAGGTGCCTGCACATCTACTCTGCTCTGTACATGTCTGAGGCGATTTTTCCCAAAGTCAAATCTGACAATGCAATTAACTGCTCTTCCCAACACCACCACCATTACACCTCTCCCCACCACGTCCCAAGGCTCTTGTGATAAAAATATAAAAATATAAAATTCCCTAACATGATCTATGTGATACTATTTCCTGCCACCACTGCCAGGCTCTCCAGCCACCCTGGCCTTCCTCTTCTCCTCCATATCCATGCTTCTTGTATATTGAGGGCCTTTACATAGGCCCTTGGCTCTGTCTAGAATATTCTTTCCTTCCTTCTTTGCCTAACTGTGTTATCAAGCTAAAATCTTTCTTTCAAACTTCTCTTCAAGTCAGTTCCTCTATAATGTTTACCACATGTAGTTGCAATTACACAATTACACAATCTGTGTGACTACCCTCCTTTCCAACAAGGTTATATGCTCCATGGCAGCAGAACAACAGAGTTGTTTCTATATCCCATTTATTCACAGCCCTAGCAGAATACCTAGAACTTATTATTAGCAAACCATCAAAAAACAGTTGAGGAATTGGTGATGATATCCCCAGATGATCAATTCCATGGCCAATCAAACATCAGGCCTACTTTCTACATATTTCTGTAATCCCTTCACCTGCACCCATCCACATGCCAACAACCCTATCCAATCAACCATGGTCTCTTACTTAGATTATTACTACAGTCTCTTACAAAATCTCCTTCCCTCTATCTCATTTGTTTATACCCCAAGGAGAACTGATGCTTTTTAAAATCCACATCTGATCATATAATTCTCTCCTGCTTATAGGCCTTCATTGGCTATCTACTGCCTTTAAATAAATCCAAGCTTCTTCACCTGACTTTCAAGGCTTTTGCAAGACCATTTTTACCTCTCTGTGCTCACATCTTGCTTCCCTCCTCAACCTGTCTTTAAGGAAGCTGTAACTATTTTCAGTTCCCCTAACAGCCAATGCTTTTCCTCACTTCCAAACCTTTGCATAGAGTATTCCCATTGCATAAAATATTTTTCAATCTCTTCTGAACACTAACTCCTAATTTCTGATCTTAATTTAAATTTCATTTCTACCAAGAAGCCTTCCTCAACCCCTCAAGTTGTATTCCAGGTTTTCCTATGTGCTCCTGTAACAAATTTGTCCTTATCCCATTACAATGTATTACATAATGCTGATCACTCCCCATTTTCTCTATACATCATTAGACAAATTCTAAGCTCTGCAAAAGCAAAGACAATGTCTTTTCATGGTTACATTACCAACCCTTAGTATAATGCCTGACACAAAATAAGTACTGGTATTTAATAAATATTCAGTGAGTGAATAAATAATTAACAGGCAATTGTTTTCTTCCTCTACTTTTCTATTGTTTACAAATTCTCTATAATGAGAACATGTTATTTTATAATTTTATTAAAATCTACTTAAACATGAGTACTTCAGGAGAAAATGGTTAAATCTACCCTAACAATCAAAACCACACATCCATGAGGTTCTATTTGGGAAATTTGGGATAATAATTACATTTGCATAATGCTTAACTGTTCACAGCACATTTACATATACTGATATTTGATAGTTACATATTCTCTGTCAGAGATTGGTAACATAATCAATCTCACTTTCCAGATGAAATATTGTTTTGCCCTAATAACAGAAATCATCTCAAGAAAGTAGTAAATCAAAAAAAGAAAGACATCAAGTAGAAACATAATAAAGATCAAACATTTGATCCCAGAAAATCTAGAAACCAGCATATCCTAGATTAGTACATGTGCTAGTTCACAATGGGAAGTAAAGTGCCACTATACAGTTTCTTGCACTCCATTCAATTATGTTTATATTTTGACCACGAGGAGCGGTAAATCAACATGATAATATCACTGTAGCTAACAAATGAGTTAGTAAAAGATACAGAGATGTGACACCAGCCTCCTGATGCTTGAGTTCCTATGTTTCATCAACTAGTGTGTTTTATGAAGATGTTATAAATATTGGTCAAACCTTGGTTTTCTGCAGGTTTTTAATGAGGTTCCAAACTGTAAGTATCTTGAATTTTCAGCATTTATATTTATTGGACCGTAAACTTTAAAACTACTTAAAGAAAATGCACAGGAGTTTCTGATGAAAAGCAATCATGAGAAACATAACTTGAAGCTAAGGAAATACAAGAAACTAAGAAAACTATTTTCCACACCTATTGAAAGCACCTATTTGTTGTGATCATTTTTTAATGTATTTCTAATCTCTCTTCATATTTAAAATCTCTAGTGGCAGTAACCTATCTTACACATTTCTACCCTTCTTATAACACTGTTTCCCAAATGAACACATCAGGCTGGATGCATAAAAAATATACAGGAAGCTTCCCAGCCTCCACCATCGCCACCATCATACCACCCAAACATGACACACATGTGCACATAAAATCTCCAGGGCTGGGACATGGAATCCATATTTTATTTCAAATAACAGGTAATATAATAATAATGTAGTACAGGTGACTCTGATATACAGCCAGACCTCAAAATTATCTAAAACCTAACACTGTGCTTTACACGTGGCAGGTACCCAGCAGAGAGGGAAATGCGGCCACCACATGCTGGGCACAGCCTTAGCTGTGTGCACCCTATGCTGTAACACTAACACTGAACTAAAGCTACTCAGCCATCAGCAATAAGAATCTCATCATTTTTTTAGTAAAATAAGAATATTGAAGAAAAAAATAAATTAGGATTCTAGCTATTTGTTGACCTCTACATTATATAATGTGAAATGACTTTTTTTTGTATTTTACCAACTTGAATGGTCAGTACCTAATTAGACAATATTCTGACATAGAAGTAGCAAAATGAAACAAATACATCAAATTACAGTGAAAGAATAAAATGAGCTTTACTGAACAAGATATTATTAAGAACAATAAAACTGATTATTAAAGATACAAAAATTCTGTATCTTTTAATATTCTATAGCTTTTTGAAAATCAGCACCAACATAAATACCTGAGAAAAGAATACCATATTAACAGGAATCATAACTGATTATACACAATCACTAAGTTTAGAACATACGAACAAAAATGCTCCTTTCGGTTGTTAATTAACATATATCAATTAACTGTTAGATTTTGAAGTAATTATTTTTTTAATTTATTCTTAAGTATTCTATTCTTTTTTTTTAAAGATTTTATTTATTTATTTTTAGAGAGGGAAGGGAGGGAGATAGAGAGAGAGAGAAACAACAATGTGCAGTTGCTGGGGGTTATGGCCTGCAACCCAGACATGTACCCTGGCTGGGAATCGAACCTGGGACACTTTGGTTTCCAGCCCGCGCTCAATCCACTGAGCTACGCCAGTCAGGGCCTGAAGTAATTATTAAATAAGACTATTAAAAAACAAAATTTAAGATAACCAAAACAAGTACCAGTTAATATCAACCTTTTCTAATGGCTGACAAGCACATAAATAACTTGTGATGTGGTTTATTCTGGTCACTGTATGCCAATTTAACACACTGACACAGTTGGAAGTTTAGTCAGAAAATAAAATTATGGTGTGATTATGGAATCAGTGTGTCAAGAACTCACCTGCTCTGGGAAGTGGTTTATATAACTCCAAGTACTGCTCTCCATGCAGAACCTATGTTAGGATAAGCAAAATTTTATTAGCAGACTTTCTTTTTCCACAGGATCTATCTACAGATACTGCTAATCAAAAGTGACATTTCACTGTCCACATGCTCACATCACTCCTTTCCCCAAATCATCTGTCTCGCTTTGGCTTCTACTTCTTAATCACATGATTCAGAAACAATCAGTCCACCAATCTGAAAACTGTCTTTTGGAGCAGAGACCATACCTTATATTTGTGTTCTTTTTTGACATTCATAAATCCTTACTGACTGATAATTATGGATTGTTTGCTAAACTAAGCTGTACTTTCAGTATTTATCACTGTGCCTGGAACATACTGGGTGTCCAATAAATATCTGAATGAAAATGAACAGGTTCCAGCCAAGATGGAGGCATAGGTAGAAACCCTTCTCTTCCTCACACAACCAAAAGGACGATAACAAGCAATCTAAAATCAATAAACAACCAGAAGTGCCAAAAAATTAAATTGCATGGAACTCCAACAACCAAGAAATTAAAGAAAAAATCAACCAGAACAACCTGACCAGTAAGGCAGCACACCTCTTGGGCCAACTCAGAAAAACCGTGGTGAAGCAGCAGACCATGTGGCAGACCTGGGTGCCAAGCTCAGCAGGCTGCAAGGGAGGGATTGACTTAAGGGGAAAGCTGAGACTCAGAGCTGACCGTGGGCTACACCTGGGGTTGACACAGTGGGAGATACTCCCAGCCTCACACGAGAGTTGAAAAGTGTACCAGGGGCAAGCAGGAGGGCTGCGCAGTTCCCTCTCTGGTCCCACCCCCACAGGCAGCCCTGCAGTGCAGCAAGGAGGGTTGCCCTGCCTGGGTGAATCCCTAAGGCCCTGCCCCCTTACAACATATCAGCTGCACCAAGACAAAGAAATATGGCCCAAATGAAAGAACACAACAAAACCTCAGAACTAAGCAATGAGGAGATTGCCAACCTATCTGATGGAGAATGTAAAGCCCTGGTAATCAAAATGCTCACAGATCTGATTGAGCTAGGTTGAAAAATAGAAAAACAAATGAAAGATACCAAAAGTGAAATAAAGCAAAATATACAGGGAACCAACAGTGACAGGAAGGAAACCAGGACTCAAAGCAATAATTTAGAACAAAAAAAAGAAAGAAACATTCATCTAGAAGAAAAGGAAAAAATAAGAATAAAAAAAATGAAGAGAGACTTTGGAACCTCTGGGACAACTTGAAACGTTCCAATATCCAAATTATAGGTGTGCCAGAAAAGAACAAAAGCAAGAAATTGAAAACTTATTTGAACAAACAATGAAGGGAAATTTCCCCAATCTAGCAAGGGAAATAGACTTCCAGGAAGTCCAAGAAACTCAGAGTCCCAAAGAAGTTGGACCCAAAGAGGAACACACCAAGGCACATCATCATTAAGTTACCCAAGATTAAAGACAAAGAGAGAATCCTAAAAGAAGCAAGGGGAAAGGAGACAGTTACCTACAAAGGGGTGCCCATTAGACTATCAGCTGATTTATCAAAATAAACCTTATAGGCAAGAAGGGACTGGAAAGAAGTATTCCAAGTCATGAAAGGCAAGGACCTACATCCAAGATTACTCTATCCAGCAAAACTTTCATTTAAAATGGAAAGGCAGATAAAGTGCTTCCCAGATAAGTTCAAACAAGTTAAAGGAGTTCATCATCACCAAGCCCTTGTTATATGAAATGTTAAAGGGATTTATCTAAGAAAAAGATAAAAAATATGAACAGTAAAATGACAACAAACTCACAACTATCAACAAATGAACCTAGAAGGAAAGAACAACAACAAAAACAAAAACTAAGCAAACCACCAGAACAGGAACAGAATCAGAGAAATGGGCATCACACAGAGGGAGTTCAGTGAGGAGGAGGAAGGGAGGAATAGGAGAGAAAAGGTACAGGGAAGAAGATGCATAATTAGTAAGCATAAAATAGACAGGGAAAGATAAAAAATGGTATAGGAAACAAAGGACTCAAAGAACTTATATGAACAACCCATGGACATAAACTAAGGAGGAGGAATGCTGGAGGGTTGTGGGGGGGCAGGGTGGAGGGGGGTAAAGAGGGAAAATTGGAAAAACTGTAATAGCATAATCAATAAAAAAAAGAAAGAAAATGAACAAATTGGCCACATACCAAATACACACAACTCAACCAAAACACAAACATAAACCTTCAAAACTATGTTCAAAATAAAAGCATTTTCAATGCCAACATCTCCTTAGTATAATATCTCATAAATTATCTACAAAGAGCAGATACTAAGGACCCTGTATAACTTCACGGCCACTTAACATACATGTTTTGAAGCAAGGATATACAAATATATGTAGGAAGACCAAAGGACAGAATAAACAAAACCTGACCCACATATCCAAATGACCACACTCTACTGCCATGGGACAACTTAATTCCCAGTCTTCCTCAGAAGCCAGAATGGAACAAAAAGCAGTGAAAGGCTGGCAGTGATGGGATGACAAATGAAGGACTGTTTCACTGTATCATATGGCCTGGAAACTCAAGGTTGGGAAGATGGGAATCAAAATCCACAATAACTATTGTTCCCAGCCCCAGATATGGAATGCCATTTATGATTTCAAACTCCTTTCAACTCTGAGGGACAAGTTTGAAATATTAGCTTTGTTTGCTCTTTCATTATGCAAACAGAAGAACTGTATGCAACTACCATGGGAGAGTAACTAAAACAACAAACTGCTTGGCATTCATTTCTTGCTTACCTCCCAACTTCATGAAATACTCTAATAAGTTCTCATAAGTTCAGAGCAGCAAAGGACTAAAGAAATTCCCAGTAAATGGATTCTTGAGTCAATCAGTTGCAGAAATTGTCTCACAGCTCTATGATTCAATAATTATCACTGGGCTTATAATCTAAACCTTACTCCAAGAAATAAAATAAACACCACCTCAAAAGCTTTTAGTTGTACACTCCTTCCTTCTTCAAATGACTTATTCACTGTGCTTCCCAAATACCATATTCTCCTGATATTCCTCATAAATCACACCCCACCAGCCATTCCTTCTAAGTCTCTCTTGCCAATTTCTCATCTCTTCAACCACTAAACACTGCAGGGACCCTAAACACAAGATCCTCTCTACTTACACTCACACATTAGGTGATTTCATCTAGTGTCATGTCTTTAAATATCACTTAAATGTTACAAGCTCCAATTAGACCTTACCCCCACACCCTAGATTTATATACTCAACTACCTACTTTATAGCTCCACCTGAATGTGTAACAGCCATCTCAAATCTGTCTAGAAACAATTTCCAATTAACCCCACCTTAAAATAACTGTACATATTTTATTATATATAGTCATATATAACTGCTGTACATATTAAATATGTTACATATAGTTAATTCTAAATAATATAGATATGTATACAGAGTGGGTAAAAGTAGGTTTACAGTTGTGAACACACAAAAGTTTATTCTTGTGTTATTATTTATTATATTATTTTCCAAATGAACTGTAAACCTACTTTTACCCACCCTGTATACATCATCCCAAAATCCTTTAGCCCAAAAACCTTTATCCTTGACTCTTTTTCCTTTCCCCCTATATTCAGCCTTTTGCCTGAGTTACTTTTGTAGGCTACTAACTGGTTTCCTTGCTTCCATGCTTGGCTCCCATATAATTTACTCTCCACACAGTAGCAAAAAAGAGCCTCTGAGTGAACACAGGCAGCTCATATATCACTCCTCAGTTCAAAGTGCTACTAATGGTCCCACTCATTTATCAGAGTATAAACTGAAACCGTTACAATGACTACAAGGCCCTCTTCTACCACAGCCCCTTGCTCACTTGACAGCTATACTTGCCCCCTTGCCATTCCAAAAACAAGACAAATATGCACCTGCCTCAGGAACTTTTACACTTGTTCTGTCAGCCTCAAATACTCTTCCACTGGATAATTAATTCCCTGGTTTGCTCTTTCATCAACCATCATCAGGTAAGGATTATCATATCCATTTTATAGATAGAAAAACAAGCTTAGAGAAGTTATTTACCCTTGGCCAAACAGTAAGAAAATGGCAGAGAGAGAATTAATAACATTATACCAGGGTTGTAGGACTAAACAGGGCTGTTTTCTTCTTTTTGTCTGTATTTTGAATCCTCTTCTCCTTTATTCTTAAAAAGTCAAAAAATATGCCAACTTCTTATCCTGAATCAACCATTATAAACTATTTTATTAATACACACAATCATACAACCATGCATAGAATGTGATATTTATCAATAATATTTATTATGCATATACCTTTGCTAAGTTGATTGGAAGTCCAGGAATCTCTGCTAATTCTCCACCCATTATCGATTTCTGAGCTATAATAACTCCAAAGGTAGGCAAACAGGAGAAGTCAGGATTTCCCTCATAAATAAATTTAAAATCCTTTGGTTCTTTGACCGATGCTCCCACTCCAAGAGCATACATAATAGCTTCCAATTCCGTGTAAGCAGAAGAAAATGAAGACAATTTATGGCCAATAACTCCATCCTATGGGACAATTGGAGGAAATAATTTTTTATTCATCTTGGTCAAATCTTTAAATGTTTAACTTTTCAAAACTATTCATTGCATACATACCAAGTTTTGCTTTTGAAAAAATGTGACTAAAATATCATTCTAGTGAATTTGAATATCAATCTAGTGAATTTTATTACAATTGTTTCATTATATTTGATTTTTCAATAGAAACCCATTAGATTATGTTGGGAACCGCCCTGACTGGTATCAGAGGCTGAAACCCCCGCCTAAGCTAAGGCTAAGGGAACGCCCTTGGAACCGTAAGCCAGCAAGGAGACAAAAGCTTATCTCCCTGGCAGGAATGCTGCTTCTGCTGCTTTATTCATAACTGAACCCCCCAAAAGCTTGGTCGGTTAGCCAAAGACGGGTAAGATTCCCCACGGGGGGAACGACCTAAGCCAGGCACAATCACTTTGGGAGGCCCCCCAAAAGAAGGACTTGGAGGCTGCAGCAAAAGGGGGTGATGGACCCTCGCTCCTCGGCTTTGACATAGCCTGAGTTCTCAGCGTCTGGAAGAAAATCTCCTTATCTCTCAGTTGCCTTAGTTCCCTTGCTCCACCTAAGCCTGAAACAATGACAGGGTAGTACAGCTCTGTACTGAGAAGTGCAGATTTCCCGGGGTGATCAGGCCTAAGAAAGAACATGTAAATTACTGTGAAACCTTCTTTGTTTAGAATGCTCTCAGATGAATGAGAAGGGTCTTAGGAGGAAGTTAATTTGTTCCTCAGTCTTACAGCTCTTTGACCCCAACTCAATAGACTGGCAGAGTTCTTTGTTTTCTATAGTTCCTTACTTCCCCTAATGAGTACTGTACTTTACCTGAATTATTATGCAAAATGAGCCCAATAAAAGCAGGTATGGACGGTAAATCAGCGCGCTCCCCACTAGGGGGGGTGGCCATTTCGTCCCTACTTCCCCACAGAAACTAGTTTGTCTCTGTGCATGTGTTGTTATTTCTTGCGTGTTTATTGTCGAGCCATCCACAGCGTTCCGTGGTCACTGCTGGCCGGTGACCCACGCGCAACAAGATTATATATGAAAAAAAACTTCATTTATAGCTAAGTAATATTTTATCACTTGCTTCTTGCTAACAGATAGCATGTCTCATTTTAACTTTCCTGTCTCCTGATTCTGGTGCTGGATTAACAACTACTAGCTACCCAAAAATAAACAAACAAACAAATTTGTTATAAATAGCAACCGTGAATTGTCCTATAGTATCTATTATATAAAAATCTACTATAAACAGAGAAGCAAAACACTACTTAGTGCTTATAAATTAGATGGCTTCATAATGGTTTTAGTTAAAATGAGATTTCATCTTAAGTTATTTCCCAGGATTGTCCTTTATCTTACTGGATATTGTATTTTTCTATTCAGTGATGATATACCTAGCAATTCTGTGAAGCATACATTATTAGGTTATTAAAGAATGATGTCCAATTTGCAATCACTTTTGTTCTAAAGCAGGAGTTGCCGAACAGTGGTTGAGAATTAAAAATGGTTTTCACATATTTAAAGAGTAGTTAAAAAAAGAAAATCAAGAGTTTGTGACAGAAACAGTATGTGGTCCAGAAAGCCTAAAACATTTATTAGCTGGCCTTTTAATGAAGAAGTTTGCTAACCTCAATTATAAAGTAAAATCACAATTATAAAGTCATCATATTCTCAGGGTTAAAATTATGTGGTTAATTATATCACTGTCTGTCCTGAGTCACAGAATACCAAAACTGAATGTATTAAAATAATTTACTTCTTATTATTTATGCACTAAACCTTTTTTCAAGGATAAATAAAAAGGTGGTAAATTGGCAAACTTCCATGAGCTATAACCACAATTGTGTTAGAATTTCTGACACAATGGGAAGCTTTTTACTTGCAGCCATTATGAAATATTTCCAAAATACATTCTATCAATGCTTTTCCTTAAAAAAAAAATGACTCAGAAGGTGCTCTGAAATAAATTAGCCTTTTCTAAAAAGTTAGATAAATGGTGACTAAAGTAGGATTATTTGTGATTCTCAAAAAAAAAAAAAAGACACTTGTCTAATTATACTGAAGAAAAGAAAGTAAAGTTCACATTTAATATTTTAGTCTTGTGTTCATTGAAATTCTTTAATTATTTGGTACATATATTATGAAAAGGTTTGGGGTCACTTATCTTTCCTATTTAACAACAGATCAATAGCTTGGAAAATAATTTTTTGTATTAAAGAAAAGATCTTCAGCCCTGGCTGGCATAGCTCAGTGGATTGAGCGTGGGCTGCGAACCAAAGCATCGCAGGTTCAATTCCCAGCCAGGGCACTGCCAGGGTTGCAGGTCACGGCCCCCAGCAACCACACATTCATGTTTCTCTCTCTCTTTCTCCCTCCCTTCCCTCCCTAAAAATAAATAAATGAATACATCTTTAAAAAAAAAAAGGAAAGATCTTCAGAGAAGGCACAGTTTTGGGTTTTTCCCCCCCACTTACAAATCCTGTTGTGGCTGTTTTTGCTGCCTCATGGCTGGTACGATTTGTTGAAACTCTTCCATCTGAAGCTATTTTACTTAGAACTTCAATTATACTGGAAGTTGATTCTAAAACAACAACAACAATAATGTGAGCAAAAAAATGTGCTAGATCAGCGATTTTCAACCTTTTTCATTTCATGGAACCATAAACTATTAAAATTCTGCCTGCAGCACACCCAAAAATATATTTTTTTGCTGATCTAATAAAAAAATAGGTATTACTGTGAGTCATTCACACTGGATTGCTATTGTTGTGTCTAAGGGAAAAGAGGTCTGTGCCCCTGACAAATAGGCACTATACGTTCTAAAAATTCTTGCAGCACACCAGTTGAAAATCACTGTGCTAGATAATTATTCCTATAACATTCAGCAAGCCTGCTGCAGACTCTTTACTGGCACTCATGAACATTGAATGTATGATGTGAAGCTATTAAGGGAAAAAATTGTGAAAGACTTTGAAATAGGCCACAGATAACTCAGTGTTTTTAATGGAAAACAAGACACTGTCCAACATACTCTTCCCAGCTTATGACTTTAAGCTTTGCAATGAACTTTGAGAAATTGTACAACTCTGTAAAGTGGGACCCTTATCCACATACATGCAATTTCTGTTTGGTGAAGGGACAATTACCCTTCTCTCCCCACAATCCTCCCTTCTTCAGGATGAGATAGTGCCAAGGTTACCCCTTAGATCCCTGTACAGGTAGTAAGTAGGTCTGCAGATAGTACTAAAAGTTCTTCCAGAGAAAACCATCCTTACGACCAGTGATTTCAGACAGGTTTTGGAAACTGTTCTGGGGTGATTCCAAAGGCTCTGGGACCTTTCTAACAACTTTAGAGGTATGAGTCTTCTTCTAAACTCGGAGAAAAACTACAACTAAACTATAGAATGTGGGATGACTGGGATATCTGCCATTCCTGAGGACACCAGCAGAGAGGATTCTTCCTTCTAATCCTTCCCTTACCTCCCCATTCAGACTGCTGCCCAGGGGCAGGGGGCAGTGGCTGTATAACCGAAAGTCACCTTGACACAGGCTGAAAGCACTGCACTCAGAGAGAAACAACCTGAGTTAACTCTTCACCCAAATACTGAGAAAGCTTGGACAAGTTATTTAGTTTTTTCCGGAATTTAGTTCATCATCTATAAAATGAGAAGTGGGGTAAGTACCTGCTAGAAAGTCTCAATTGTATTAAAAAGCTGATATTTTTAACAGTACTTCAAATACTAGACATATCTTGTCATTTATAATTACACAATTCATTTAGTTAGCTTCTCCTTTATATTAGTATAGTACTTTTAAGGCAATAAAGTGGAACTCTGACATCAGAAGAAAGTCTTTAATATATTTCTTCCTTTCATTCACTTTCACTGATAGACAACTGATATTGACAGACTAAATTTATCTCAATATCAAAATACAGAATACAGAAAATGCTACCATTAATGATAGAACATTTATGTTATCATCTGATTGAGAAAAAGCATAATTTTAGTGCATGTACCAGTGGGCAGCGAAGTGTCATTAAGGGAAAAAAATGTCATTTTTTGGATATATTCTTCTACCAATCATTAAATATAAAATTACTAAGAGGAAAAAATGAGTTTTCTGTTCATAATCTTTCCCAGAAAGGTCCTTTATATTTTATATACTATGAGCATATGTGAATTATACGAGAAAAAATAATGTGACTTTTATTGGTTATTTACTCCTGTGGCATATCATAGATGCCTCAATAATTCAAGGCAACAAGCATTTACTAAAAATCCTTTCTATTAGTTCTACGTTATGCTAGCACCAAATACAGAAGTACATGCAAGATACAGTCTCTGATTCCAAAGGAACTTACTATGCAGTTAAGAAAATGCATAATTATGAAATGAAAGCAATTACAATTAGATGTTCAAGTGGAAGAGTTCAACCAAGAGAGAAATCAATGTAGCCCAGAATATGTAGGGAGATTTTGCTGAATATCTGGGGCTTAAGTTTTTCTAAAATACAATACTAATAAAAGGAAGAAGGGCTATTTTAGAAAGACAGAAACAGCCCTGGCTGGCATAGCTCAGTGGATTGAGCGCGGGCTGTGAATCAAAGCATCGCAGGTTCGACTCCCAGCCAGGGCACATGCTTGGGTTGCAGGCCATGACCCCCAGCAACCGCACATTGATGTTTCTCTCCCTCCCCCTCCCTCTCTCTCTCTCTCTCTCTCCCTCCCTCCCTCCCTCTCTCTCCCTCCCTCCCTTCCCTCTCTAAAAAATAAATAAAGTCTTAAAAAAAAAAAAAAGACAGACAAAAGCAAAGACAAGGTGCTAAAACAGCAAAATCTATTCACTAGACAGAGCTAAGCCTAAATTAAATAGGCTTAAATAAACTTTTTGGGAAATAAAAGAAAAAATCAGGTTAGATAAGGAGCATATGGTTAAATAATGGAAGACTTTGAAACCAGCCATCAGATGAGGAGTAGATGTATTAAGCACAAATGGGTAACTTACCTCATACCACCTCCCAACTACATGTACACCAAAAAAATAGGATGATAAAAAACTGACAGTGGTAGTGACATACGTATCTTAAATGTGAAGAGTTCTAATACATACTAGATCAGAAAATGTACTCTAGATGATTCAACAGTGTAAGTAACCACAGTTAAAACAGCAATTTCATAAGAGAAGAGATTGCTTCTGGTCCCCCAACCAGGACTGGACTGAGTGAGATCCTTTACCTTCAATACTTTGAGGCTTGCTTGCATTTTCAAAGCCACAGATCTTGGTCCAGTTAGCCTTCACTGCCTCAGGAGTCATTGGCTGATTCCTTTGTCTTACAATTGCTCCAAGGCTCCGCTCCCAGCGTACTGGTCATAGAAACAAAACTAAGATACTACGCACATAATTTCAGTGAAGACAGAAAATAAAGTAAAATTCATAAGAGCCTCTTGCATTTTTTTAACTCTTAAGAAAAAGGAAATTCAGAAAAAGATTCTAACTTCTAAAGAGTTTTACTACATTCCTTAAAATGCATTTTTCCTAAAATAACAAACCCATTAAGGTAATGTATAGTTTTTAAAAATATTTGAAACTGAAGGGACAAATTTCTCTGACTTTACCAGACACTACTAAAGCAGAATGAAATGCTGAATCAGAAGATAAATTATATTATCATGTCAAAAAACTGACTTTGTGACCACAGATCACTTGGGAACTATACTTCAAGATAACAGAACAAAGCTTTGTTGGACAGCAAACCGAGGACTAGTGGTAAAGACAGATAAAAAATTCCAGCTCACCAAATACTGTATCAGACAGCCCCAAGTAATTCTCCCTTTTCCTCCCTTTCTCTTCCACAGGAAGTCAACTAGAATGGGCCTATTCACAAAAATAACTATTACTGCTGCCTAAGTTTTATGAGAATTAACCGTTTCCCTTTTTAAAAGACTGAGGAATAAATAACCACTAGTAACCTATTTAAACATAATGGCCAGACTTTTATGATTATTAAACTGAAGATTTATCTTGGGCATGACAAAAATGACTGCTTCTAGAGCTTCCTATCAATAAAGTCCCAGACATAGCTTTTATTGTAACAACTGATCTTCCTTTCTTAAACTGATGTCATAAGACACTTAAAAATGCTTGAGCAATATAATTTACTCTAATAACTGCAGAGAACAAATGAAAACATTGATAGTCTATAATACATTGTAACAACACCCTCCAGTAATGGGAACCTTTTAAATAACTCGATTAATTTCGACACCTCTAGCCAACTAAAAACACAAATTGGGACAAAGGAATTTTTAGTTTTTTGAAAATGCCTTAAAGCAATTATCCAATTTGGAGCTCACAAGGTTTAAGGGCTGGGGTAAAAGAGAGTTGAAGCCAAATGAATTTACTATTGGGCTGAAGGGGAAAAATTTCCACAGATCAGATGCAATTTCTGTCTCACAGCATTGTCCATTTGATGCTTCACTGTCTCCTCCTGATGTCTCATGCTCCCAGAAATAATGAACCAAATGAGAGAACTGAAGAACTTTTCTGCTGGAGCTTTTCCCCTCTTTTCAAAACCAGCCCTCCCTCACACTCACACCTCTGAGGACAGTCAGAACAGGCAGGTTGGATGCCAGAGATGAGGGAAGACAAACATCACTACAGAGACTATGCTGTCTGAAGGAATAGCCAGTTCTGAATAAGAAAGGTCAAATTCTTAATAAGAACTACCAACAGAAAGAAAATAAAACAGATTCTTGAAAATGCCACAGGACTGTAGGACAACTTTTAGAATAGGTTTGAGTTACATCCAATAGTTAGGCATTTGATAAGGTCTTTATCCAGCTTTAATTAGATCTGCAGGTTTAAAGATATGGAAATAACATAAGGAAAAAGAGACTTACACTTTCCCATCCATCCTGCTCCAACCTACCAAAAAAGAGGGGAAAGAAGTTATACCATCTAGTGTGACATCATTAACAAATTTTTTAAAATTAAAAATACAGGCAGCTATCTTACTAAGAAAATTGGGATACTATATGACAACAGAAAAAATAGTACAATTTTACAAAAATCCACTGGCCCTCATGCCTGCACTGTTCATGTTGTTAGAGTAGAAATACAAAGCAGCACACTGTAGTAAAAAAAGCATGACTCTGATGTCAAAAGCCAAGGTTTGGTACCATTTATTCCACTGAAGAGCTGTTGTGACCTTCGTCAAATTATCTGATTTCCCTTAATCCAAGCTTCTGCTTAGATGAAATAAGGATACTAGCAAACTCTCCATGAGGTAACCATGAAGGCTAAACAATATAAATAAATACTAAAATTGCCTAGCACATCATAGCCTTGAAATTCATGTCCCTCTAGAAAGACATAGTGAATAACAAAATTTAAAGCAAAGAAAACTAAAACCAGGATCTGACTCAATGAACTATATATAGTCATTTTAATGAAACATTTTTATATATAAAAGTAAAGCAAATGAAGAAATATATTAACTGCCATACAGAAAGATAATTTTTTTCCTAAAGGCCATTCAAAGATACTGTCAGAAGAAACTGTTTGATGTAAAGAAAAATGTTTGTTATATCTTCATATACCACAACTGCAATGTGCCAGAACTCATCATGAGAATTCCACATACATATAACAGAAGAAAATTTATCAACAGACAGCACATATCTAAGGGGCTACAATATGGATCAAGGGTATGACTTCTTTAGTCACCCTTTAGAGGTCTTTCTATTAATATGTCCACACTTTTTATAATAGATCAATCAGCCTCAGTGGTGTCAGAATAGATAAATCAGCAGTGGTTTTGATAACAGTCATCTTTCACCATATTTTGAGAGTGAAGCAACAAACTACAAGCTCCTCTTGGGTGCAAGACACAACAGCTTCAGATGAGCCAAAGAATCTGTATCTGCCATTCTAGTTATCTATTAGGGCCTTTCAAATAAAGTGGCAATTTACTTTCAAAGTTTAAGTCAGGATATTACACATACATATCTTACTATATTTTATCAATCATGGATAGCAAATGTTCCTCACTAAGAGTGTTCACAATATAGTAAAACAACCTACAAAATTTCATCTGTGCATGATCCTAACTATACAGTTTGAGTGTGTGTGTATAAAATGCCTATCTGAAATAGACTATTAGCGTAAAATGCACATCTAATACAAGACCGGGAGAGAATACCTAAGAATATTAACAGTAGTTATCTCTAAGTAGCAATGGGGTTATTTGGTAATTTTTTCTTCTATATACATTCCCGGATATTTGAAGTTTATTACAAAAAGCATATATTATTTTTGTTCACAGAATAATAAATTATAAAAGATAAAAAGTTTTTTAAAGAAATTTCCCCAACAAGACTTTTTAAAAACAGGCCAAATTTTGAGCTTGAGATTATTAAATACATTTATCTGTAAATTAAGAGTTGTAAAGTTCTTTCTACCTCTAATTTTACACAAGTCACATTCAGTGGTTGTGATTAAGAAAGTTGAGGCACATATCTCTGCTTAAATATGTATAAAAAGTTTTTTATTAACTTATCAGCTTTTTATTTAAATGAATCAGGGTAATATATTATTCACTTCGAACAGAGCTAAGTTATTTTGCTACCAAGAAATATTTTTGGATATCATAGTATTTCTCATACAATGGGTTCACTATTATCACAGAGCATCACAGAGCATCAAATAAAGGGGTGGGAGGAAGCATAAAATATAACAGTTTATCCTAGAAAGGAAAAAAGAGATCAAACTCAAATGAGAAATCAAAAATGTATAAAGTGGCACAAAGAGATCTAAAAGAACTCTGACTATGGGTCCCACAGACAATGGCAGTATATGTGGCTTTTATTTTTATAATAAACAAAAGCTTTACAACAAGGAAAAAAAGTTTATTTTTAAAGTTAAGATAAATAGTAAGTTGTGTTTACTCATCTATCACACCCAGACTAAATTCCTGCTATACTGATATAAAATTTACAATTAAGGGATCGAGCCCTGACTGGTGTGTGGTTCAGTGGGCTGAGTGTCATCCTGCAAACCAAAAGGTTGCAATTTTGAATCCCAATTAGGTCAGAAGCCTGGATTGTGGGCCAGGTCCCCAGGTGGGGGCCTGTGAAAGGCAACCAATCAATGTTTTTTTCATACATTGATGTCTTTCCCTTTCTTCCTCCCTCCCTTCCCCTCTGACAATAAATAAATAAAATATTTTTAAAAATAAAATTACAGAATCAAGCAAAAAGGAAAAAGGGCTCATGAACATGGACAATCAGTGTGGTGCTTTCAGGGGGTAGGGATAAGAGGGATAAATGGTAATGGAAAAAATACAATAAAATTAAGGAATGACTGCTATGTTATATGCATTAGGTCCTATGCTAAGAGTTTAAAAGTATAATTTCTAGTTGCCACAACAAACCCCCCCAAAACCCTAAAGCTCAGGGAGGTTAATTTGGACAAAATTCCAGCAAACTAGCAAGTGCCAGAACAAGAATTCAAGATCTGGCACTTGGTTGACTCTAATCCCTAAATCCTTCCACTTTACTACTGAGCTTCTCAAACCAAATGAGACTTTCTATATTTGACTAAACACTCCAAACCAGCCACATTCTCATTTGGTGACAATACCGTAAATAAAGAACTAAGTAAACAGAGAATTTATGAAGTTGCGGTTACTTTCTCAAAAACAACCTTAGTCAGCACTTATTCCTTAATGATAACATAACCATATTTAAAAAATCAACTAACGTAGATTTTTACAAATGTGAGCAACTGAAAAATACCAATTTTTAAATCATTTTTAATATTCAATTACACAAAAAAATACTTTCCAGAAAGGAGGAAGGGTAAGAATACCTCAAACAAGCTTCCATTTTCCTCACAACTCTTATGGCAAAGCCAAAGGACAAGAGGTGCCACATAATCTGGCTTCAGAGCTTCCACAATATCTGGAATAAATAACACGCCCCCCCCCACAAAGAAAGTTTATGAATAAGAATATACACATATTTAAGCTATTATTTTACTGTTTGAAAATTTCTTACATGTTTTTATAGGTAATTCAGCAACATTTGGAATAAAATGAACAAAACTGGATGTACATAATTAAATAATCTAACATTCAAGGCTTTTGAAATAACTTTTTCATCATACAGCTCTTTCCAGCTTCTAATATTAAATATACCAGACTTACCTTTCCAAGGTGGGTAACATACTATTCAGAAGAAGACAAGTTAGACCTGCTTAGGCAAAGACTAGAGAGCAAAGCTATACTTGTGTATAACGTAAGGAACTTAGGTGCCATTCATTCTTAGAACTATTTTACTCTCCTAGCTATTTAACCAGAAGCTAGAAAACTAAAAATAAAAAATAAAATCATTGACAATTGTAATGCCAGTAAAATAATGATGTGAAATGAACCTTGCAACCATTACTGAGCAGTAACAAAGTGTAAGAAATATTTTCCTATTGAATCCTTTCTGTGAGCAACTTAATAGAACAGAAAGGTACTACACAAGGAGTACGAAGGCGTGGATTTTAATGCTAACCCTGCTATGCAGGCAATTTAGGATGGTGAGCACATCACTCATCTGTCTTCTCAGTAAGATAGATGGAAAGTAAAATGCCTTCCCTGCCTATACCAAAAGTTGTTCCAAGGTTCAAATGAGATGCAATTTGTTAATAAACTTGATAATCTTTAAAGAATCAAACAACTGCAAACTTTACTTGTGAAATGACAAAATATAATTTTATATTATATTTACATTTACAGTCCCTGTAAATTAAAGAGCAGTTTCAAAAACTTTATAGTCTATAAGCTCTCAAATATGAAAAAAACCCAATGGTACAAAGTTCTCCACTCTCTATTATAAGCACAAGGAGAAAACCAAAGGGACAGACACTCCAACCATCTCAAATTTCATGATGAAACAAATTCGGAAATGGTTATTTACCGTATTTTGCCATATATAATGCGTACCCATGTTTCTGGCCCAAACTTTCAGAGAAAAAAATCTTTCATTTAAATTTTTATCTCAATTATTTATTTATTTATAGACAAAACCAATTATCGTATTCCAGGGTATTATTTTGCATATGGATATTGTTATTGCTTTCTAGAGTTATATTTTTAACACATAAGCATAAATAATTAAAAACATTTATATAGATATGGAATTAGTACCATCCACATATAATGTACATCCTTAGTTTCCCCTCAAAAATTTGGGCAAAAAAGTGTGTATTATACATGGCAAAATATAGTATCTTAGGTGAGAGAAAAACAGAGGAGAGGATAAGAATAGTATGGGAAATGGAGAAGCCAAAGAACTTATATGCATGACCCATGGACATGAACTAAGGTAAAGGAATGATGGTGGGAGGGGGGCTACAAGGCAGAGGAGAATAAAGGGGAAAAAAATATGGAACAACTGTAATAGCACAATCAATAAAATATATTTTAAAAAATTAGGGAACTATAGGTATACGCAATATAAATTAATCTTAGAATCATAACATTGTGCGAATAAAAAAGTAATTCCTCCTCAAAAATGCAGTATGTTATGATTTTATTAATATCAAAATAAACAAGCCCAAAATAAAGAGTTTTAGCCATGTATTTATTATTTTTAAAATATTTTACTTAATATTTAATATTTTTAAAGGAAAAAGCAGTAAGGAAATGAAAATCAATCATTTTCTTTAAGTGATTACATCTTGGGCAAGCAAAGAGGTTGTGATAAAGGATGAAAGAGATCCATGCAAGTTATTGGCAACACCCAATTTTAGGGTTGCAGGACAGCTTGTCTTCAAGATGGCCCCAATGATCCCTATCTTCTCTCATTCACCACTTTTTATAGTCCCCTCCCACAACATACCAAGATTGCTCTCTGTGACCAATATAATAAGATAGAATTGACAGTATATCACTTCTGAAATTAAAAGATGTGGCAACTTATATCTTGATTGCTGTTTCTTTCAAATTATTAGCTCTTGGGAAGGGAGCTGCCATATCAAGAATAGTCCTATGGAGAAACCCATGTGATGAAAAACTAATGTCTCAAGGAAGGAATGGAGGCCTCCTGGTAACTGCCATGTCCATGTGAGCCTGGAAGTGGACCCTCTGACCCAGACAAGACTTCAAATGACTGAAGTCCCAGCAAACATTTTCATTAAGACTTCATTAGACACTCAGGACCAAAAATTCCCAGCTGTGCCACTGAAGACTCCTGATCCCCGCAAAACTGTGTGAGATAATGTTTGTTTTAATTGATTGATGAGAGAGAGAGAGAAACAATTGATTTGCTGTTCCACTTATTACCCATGAAGATTAGTGGGTAATAATACTGAAAAAAATGTAAGCTACTTACCTTCAGGCAAGACAGTCTGGGTCAACCGTGATCCAGCAGTAGGGGCAATAGTGTTACAATGAATGTTGTATTTCTTGCCTTCAATTGCAAGAGTATTTGAAAGGCCCAGAAGACCCAACTTTGCAGCACTATAATTTGCCTGGCCAAAGTTGCCATATATTCCTGCAGCTGATGAAGTCATGATGATCCTAAAAGGAAAATCAACCCCCCAATATTATCTTTTCTGATCTGATGATGTTGTAACTCTATGTCTTTATTTTCTTTTCAGTACTATTACACCTTTCAAAAACAACTTTGTATATTGTCATTAGGTTTTTACAGTCATGATTCATATATCTAAAATAATATTAATAATAAAAGTAATCTCTCAAACTTCAAATACAAGATTTAACTGTTTTAAAAGAATCCCTGGTCAGAACCAAATAAAATTAAGTGTAAGAATGTACATTTGTTATCTATTGAAAACAACAATAAATATTTAAAACAAAATAAATTGGAAATATGTAAGTTAAAATTTTAGTAATAAATATTAGATAAAGCAATTCTAATTCTTTAGTCCTTACTACTGTGATCCCCTCTCTTTCTAGATAACATTAAATGTCTCATATTTAAACAATGTCAACTCATAATCTGACCCAATCTTACTCACTCTCTAGCTCTACCACATTCTGAGTCACTCACAGAGACACAACCATGAGAGTCCAACAGTTTCCTAAACAGTTTTTAAAGGCTGACTCATGTCTCACAAGTACCAGCTAGCAGGAAACAGCCATTCATCTCTCCCCAGTTGGTCACTGTATACACAAAATGATATTTTGGTTAGAGAATAAAGTACAGTTAAGTCCTCAATGTTTGTACTACTAAAATATCAGAACAGCAGAAAAAGCCTAAACAGACCATTAACAGCTGATGAAACTGAAGCAGTAATCAAAAAACTCCCAGCACACAAAAGCCCTGGACTGGACAGTTCCACAGCAGAATTTCACAAAACATTTAAGGAAGAGCTAACCCCTATTCTTCACAGACTATTCCAAAAAACCCAAGATGAGAGAAGACTCCCACACTCTTTTGATGAAGCCAGATAAAGACACAACAAAGAAAACTTCAGGCCATATCACTGATGAACACAGACGCTAAAATCCTCAACAAAAATATTGACAAACCACATCCAGCAATACATTAAAAAGATCATACACCATGATCACATGAGATTCATCCCAGGGATGCAAGGATGGTACATATTTGCAAATCAATAAATGTAATACATCACATAAACAAAAGGAAAAGACAAAAATCACAAGATCATATCAACAGATGCAGAAAAAGCATTTGATAAGGTACAGCACCCATTTATCATAAAAACACTAAGCAAAGTAGAAAAGAGGGAGCATTCCTCCACATAATAAAGGCCATATACAAGAGACCTACAGCCAACATCATTCTCAACAGGCAAAAACTAAAAGCTTTCCCACTAAGATCAGGAACAAGACATGGATGTCCATTTTCGCCACTTCTATTCATCATAGTATTGGAAGTCCTAGCCACAGCAATCAGACAAGAAAAAGAAATAAAAGGCATCCAAATTGGAAAGGAGAAAGCGAAACTGTCATTGTTGGCAGATGACATGATAGTGTACATAAAAAATCCTATAGACTCCACCAAAAAACTACTCGACCTAATAAGTGAATCTGGCACAACAGTGGGATACCAAGTCAATATTCAGAAATCAAAGGCATTTTTGTACACCAACAATGAAATATCAGAAACAGAAATCAGGAAAAAAATCCCATTTAATATAGCAACAAGAAAAATAAAGTACCTAGGAATAAACCTAACCAAAGAGGTAAAAGACCTATATTCAGAAAACTACACAACACAGAAGAAAGAAATTAAGAAAGATGCAAACAAATGGAAGCATGTACTGTGTTCATTCACTGGAAGAATTAATATCATCAAAATGTCCATACTACCCAAAGCAATTTATAAATCCAACAATCTTTGTTCTATATACAACCATAAATGACCCCAAATAGCTGCAGCAATTTTGAGAAAGAACAAAGTAGGAGGGATCACAATAACGGATATCAAACTGTCTTACAAGGCCATTGTAATCAAAACAGCCTGATACTGGCATAAGAACAGACACACAGATCAGTGGAACAGAACAGAGAACCCAGAAATAAACCCAAGTCTCTATGGTCAATTAATATTTGACAGAGGGGGCAGAAGCATAAAATGGAGTAAAAATAGCTTCTTCAAGAAACAGTGTTGGGGGATCTAGATAGCTACATGCAAAAAAATAAAACCTGACCACCAACTTATACCACATACAAAAATAAACTCAAGATGGATAAAAGACTTAAATATAAGTCATGACACCATAAAAGTCCTAGAGGAGAACATAGGCAGGAAAATCTCAGATATTCCATGCAGCCATATTTTCACCAATATATCCCGTAAGGCAAGTGACTAAAGGAAAGAACAAATGGGTCTTCATCAAAATAAAACCTTCTGCACGGCTAAAGAAAACATCAGCAAAATGAAAGGGGAACCAACAGTATGGTAAAATATATTTGCAAATGATACCTTGGACAAGGGTTTGATCTCCAAAATACAGAAAGAACACACAACTCCACTCCAGAAAGACAAATAATCCAATTACAAAATGGGCAAAGGACCTGAACAGACATTTCTCTAAGAAGGACATACAGATGGCCCAGAGATATATGAAAGGATGCTCAGCATCACTAGCCATCAGAGAGATGCAAATTAAAACAACAATGAGATACCACTTCATGTGGGTCAGAATGGTCATCATAAACAAATCAACAAACGAGTGCTGGCAAGGCTGTGGAGAAAAGAGAACTCTAGTACACTGTTGGTGAGAATGCAGACTGGTACAGCCACTGTGAAAAACAGTATGGAATTTCCTTAGAAAACTAGAAATGGAATTGTCTTTTGACCCAGCAATTTCATTGTTGGAACTATACCTTAAGAATCCTGAAACACCAATTCAAAAGAACCTATGCACCCCAATGTTCATAACAGCACAATTTATAATAGCCAAATGCTGGAAGCAACCTATGTGCCCATTAGTAAATGAGTGGATCAAAAAACTGTGGTGCATTTACACAATGGAATACCATGCAGCAGAAAGAAAGAAGGAGGTCCTACCCTTCACAACAGCATTGAAGGACCTGGGCAGCATTATGCTAAATGAAATAAGCCAGGCAGTGAAAGACAAATACCATATGATCTCACCTATAATTGGAATCTAAACAACAAAACAAGCAAGCAAAATATAACCAGAGACATTGAAATTAAAAACAAACTGATAGTAACCAGAGGGGAGGTGAGAGGGGAGGTGGGGGGGGGGTGGAGGGAGGTGAGGGGGAATGGGGAGAAAAGGGGGAAGGGTTGAAAGGAACATGTATAAAGGACACATGGACAAAGCCAAAGGACAGGGTAGGATCGAGGGTGGGAGGTGGGGATGGCTGGGGTGGGGAGGAGTAGTGGGGGGGCTAGGGGGAATGGAGACAACTGTACTTGAACAACAATTTTAAAAATGTGAAGAAAAAAATAATGAAAAATAGGAGGTGAAAAAATTAAATCGGTCCAGCTCAGCTAATCTGTAACTAAATGGCCAACTTAATGAGCAGGTTGTGCCAAAGCTACATTTAAAAAGCCTACACATATCTGAAGATATTTTCCTCAATGTGAAAGCAATCATCATTCCCTGTACACAAGAACCCATATACATCTCTAATACCCCTTGAAAGCCATATGTAACTCTACCTTCCAAATTTCTGTTTCTTCATGTGATCCCATGCTGCCCGGGTCACTTGGAATGAGCCCCGCAAATGAACTCTATGGATTATATCTAAAATAAGAAATTATTTTCATTTAATATTCTGTCAAAAATTCCAACTGACATGTCTCAGAATGAATGTAAGCAATGACTTACTTATAAGCAGATGTTCATGTTATACCTAACATTCAACTATTGTCATATCACTCTGAGTATTTTTTTGCTTTCATTCCAATTCTGAAATCAATCTAAGGTTCATACATGTTTTGCATATAATTTATGATAAAATTATTGAAATCCCTACACATATCTAAATACAATGCCATCTTTAATTTATGCTTACTTTATATAAAAATTCACTAATACAAGTATCAACAAATGACACATATATAGTTGGGACTCAATACAAACATTAGTTAAAACATAATTATAAACCACATAGTTCATCATCGAAAAATACTTACAAAATGCTCAGTATATCCTTATATCCCTTTTTCCCAGGGTTTGCAAATGAGTTAAGAGAGAACTGGGAGATGGGGGTTAGAAAATGGGGGGGTATGGAGAGGGAGAAAAGGAGTAAGAGAGAGAAGCTTATCTGTTTTTAGAGATATTAATCTAATGAATAGAAAACCTGGAGAATTATTCAGACAGACATAACCCTCTAGGTTTAATTTTTAACACAATTTATTTATATTTCATTTGATTATTTTAATTATTTTTTTATCATTCTTCCTTATTTTTGTTTCAATCTGGGACCTCATCAAATGTTTTCACGTATATATTAGAAGAATAATGTAAGGGTTAATAGAGGAATAAAAGGGAGGAGAGGTAGTTAGAAGTGGTGAGTTTAGGTGAGTTTAGGATAAAACCAAAGGAAGAAACATCCCTGCTCAACCAGAGCTCAAAGGAAAGTACTAAAATAGCCCCTTTTGCCAACAAATCTTATCTTTCCTAGCTTGTTTTGTACCCCAATTCTTACAAGGGAAGAGGAAACTAAAAGCCCTTCTTTGCTTAACTCAAAGTCACAAAGGTATTTTGCTTCTTCCAAAAGAACTCTGGTAATACTCCCCAGAAGCACACACTATAAACAATGATATAATTCAACTCAGTTACCATGAACGCCACTATCTCAGTCACCATTGTTGTTTTAGTTCTGATGGCCAATGAAAGTAAGGGCAATATGAGCAAACAAAAAAAATTTTTTTCATAACTATGACTTGTTCATTATCTAAACTCAATCTTTCCAACATGGCATTCCTAATGGAAAATTTTCCTAATTATTAGAGGCTTCAAAATTACATCTAGGTTCTCCCCACCCAGTATGAAGATCTCCATCATTTTTAGTGCCCCAGGCTCCCTTCCATATTCTGCTATTGCTTTTGAACTAAGAATCACACAGCCAGATAAGTATGCTACAGGCCGTTAGAAAGAGTTGGTACTGCTATAAAATGATGACAAGCTCTCAAGGAAAAAAAGAGGGAAACAAATGAAAGGCACAAAATCCTTCTGAATAACTTCTAATAACTGATTTTTTAAAATTTCTCAGATGTCAAAAAAAAATACGCTACTCCCAAATATCCACCATTTTCAGTTATAAAGCTTACTCATCACTTACATCAGCAAAAGTAGATAAAAGTAAGTTTTAACTTAAATATATAAATTTATCAAATACTAAAAGGCTAAATAGATGGGTATATTCCAGAGAGACATATATTAAAAACTTACCCCAGTCTTCATTGCTTATTCTACTAAAGGAACGGTCCCTCAGAATTCTAAAAAAATGATATATTAGTTAGGGAAGCAGAAAGTATACACTTTAAAAACAAAAACAAAAACAAAACACCTTGCATGCAGGTTACTTTAGTAAAAATGAAAAAAGAAATACTCACCCAGCATTGTTAACCACAACATCTACAATATAAAAAGATCAAAGTCACAAATATATAAGTAAATATATTAATTTGCATTTGCTTGACTTACATTTATTTCAAAAATCGGGGGGAAGGGGCATAGCCAAGGAAAAATAATTGTGTATATATAATTGGTGAACAGTGCTATCAAAAGAAAATTCTATACCCATAGCAAAAAAAATTCCAATTCATAAAACCACAAGTATCACCTTATATTGGTGCTTTGCTCTCAAACTTACATATTCTACCCTTCCTTCTGCTGAAATTTTATCATCTTATTTATAAAATTAGCTACTGCACAACTCTTAGGTTCTCAGAATTCATTGGTAACCATAAGTTATTTCCCATTTAACCTCAAATTCACACAGAAAGTTAAAAGATTAAAGATATTTTTCTTGCCACTCAAAAGTCAAAAACCCAGAAAGAAAATGTTAAGAGTTAGAAACACATAATTGTATTCTTATGAAGAGAAATTATATTTTTTAAGGTAAACCACCATCACGTCTCTATTTTCACCCTATGAGTTCACACCTGTGTGGTCTCTGTCCCTGTCATATACTTGCAAAATGTCTCTTATAAGCTCAACCAAACATGACTAGAAAAATAAACATGCTAGACAAGAAAAGGGGGGAGTACATTCAAACTACAAAAGAAAATAATGTTTTTCAGATTGTAAATATTTTGAGCTGCAGTAATGCTTCGCTCTAGAATTCAATAATCAATCTCTTACTTAAAATGTGTGGAACTAAACCAGGAAGATTATCTAGAGAAAACTGCACTAAATGACACACTGGAAATGCTTCTTAAAAATGAAGGGGTTTTTGTTAATACGGTTGACCCTTGAACTGCATGGGTCTACTTCTATGTGATTTTTTTTTCAATAGATATATTAGAAAATTTTTTGGAGATTTACAACAATGTGAAAAAACTTGTAGACAAACCACATAACCTAGAAAATCAAACAAATTTAAGAAAAAGGTATGTCAGAATATATGAAATATATGTAGATTCCAGTAGTCTATTTTATCATTTATTACCATAAAATATATACAAGTCTACTACAAAAAGTTGAAATTTATCAAAATATGCACACACAGACCACAGGTGCCACCATTCACAGTAGAGAAATGTAAACAATTGTAAAAATGCAGTATTATGTTCAAGCCAGTCAGAGAAAGACAAATACCATATGATTTCACTCATATGTGGAATCTAATGAACAAACTGAACTATCAAGCAAAATTAAGACAGACTCACAGATGGAGAGGAGGCTGACAGCTCTGGGGAGGTAGAGGGTAGAGGAATCAAGTGAAAAAGGAGGACTCATGGACATGCACAACAGTGTGGTGACTACAGGGGGGAAGGAGGCATAGGAAGATAAATGGTAATGAAAAAATAATATAAAAATTTTAAAATAAAAAATACGCAGTATTAAATAACTGCATAAGATTAACTGTAGTACATACTGTATTACTGCAATAATTTTCTAGCCACCTCCTGTTGCTACTGCAGTGAGCTCACATGTTGCAACTGTCAGCTTAAAATGCCATGTGATGCTCATCACTCCACATGAAAAGTTCCTTTCTTCAGCAAATTGCACACAGCAGTAAAAAGTGATTTCGCACGATTCTCCTGCATTTTTCATTTTTCAGTGCAATACTGTAAACCTGAGTAACACCATGGAACCCAAACAAAGTGCTACTACTGATGCTGGAAGTTCTCCTAAGAAGCAGCAAGAAGTCATGACAATGTAAGAAAAAGATGAGTAGGATCTTACAGCAACTGCCTAAGAGTCATACTGTAAAAAGAAACTACCTCTCTTCTGTCTGCCATCATCTGGCAGCTGCAAAGCAGCAACCATGCGTGAGTGCAGCTCCATGCACACTGGCCAGGCTGATGTCCAGATTGTCAATGCCTGCTGGGAGCTCTATTGCTGGAATATGTCATGCAGCCTGATGGCCAGATGAGATGCCAAGTAACAAGACCATTGTGGGGGGAGGTGGGTGGTGAGACGACTCCAATGCCTTCTTCAGTGAAACAGGTGCTGACCAGCATATGGACCTGAAACCCACGGTCATTGATATTGTTCATACTGGCACCTACCACCAGCTCTCTCACCCTGAGCAGCTCATCACAGTCAAGGAAGATGCTGCCAATAACTAAGCACATGGGCACTACACCATTGGTAAAAAAATCACTGACCTCGTCTTAGTCAGAATTCAGAAACCAGCCAAACAGGGCACAGGTCTTCAGGGTTTCTTGGTTTTTCACAGCTTTGGTGAGGGAACTGGCTCTGGGTTTACCTCCCCACTGATGGAATGTCTGATGAATATGGCAAGATGTCCAAACTGGAGTTCTCCATTTACCTAGTCCCCAAGGTTTCCACAGCTGTAGTTGAAACCCTACAACTCCATCCTCAACACCTATACCACCCTCACTCGAGCACTCTGTGCCTTCATGGATGATAACAGGGCCAGCTACAATGTATCTGTCATAGAAACCTCAATATTCAGTGCCCAACCTATACTAATCTAAATAGGCTGATAGGCAAACTGTAGCCTTCATCACTAATTCCTTGAGGTTTGAAGGGAGCCCTGAATGTTGACCTGACCGAATTTCAAACCAACCTGGTGCACTTTCCCTGCATGCACTTTCCTCTGGCCACATATGCCCCTGTTGTCTCTACTGAGAAAGCCTGCCGAGAACAGCTTTCTGTTGCAGACATTACCAATGTGTGCCTTGAACCAGCCAACCAGGTGGTGAAACATGACCTTCACCATAGTAAATATACGGCTTGCTGCCTGTTGTATCAAGGTGACATGGTTCCCAAACATGCCAATGCTTGATGGTCGCCACCATCAAGACCACGTGTACCATCCAGTTTGTGGACTGGTGCCCCACTGGCTTCAAAGCTGACATTAATTAGCAGCCTCCCACTGTGGGTATGAGGCAGAGACGTGGCCCAAGTACAGGGTACCGTGCACATGCTGAGCAACACCACCACAGCTATTGCTGAGACCTGGGCTCACCTGGACCTCAGTGTGACCTAATGTATGTCAAGTGTACCTTTGTCCACTGGAACATGGGTGAGGGCAAGGAGGAAGGGGAGTTTTCTGAGGTCCATAAGGACATGGCTGCCCTTGAGAAGGATTATGTGGATTCTGTGGAAGGAGAAAATCAGGAAGAAGAATAAAGTTAAAATTTCAGAAAGGTGCTGCTTTTATGAGGATGCTTATTCTGTTTTAAACAGTAAAAAGTTGTGGTCTGATCAGTTCATTTGTATGTAGCAGTGTATACTCTAATACACAATTACTGGTCTATACTTTAAAACACAATGCTTTGTTACTACAGACCCAACCTGTCCATTTCTCTGAAGGGTCTAAATAAAGTATTCCCTGTCTTAAAATTTTTTTAATTGAATTGCTTAATATGTACCATACATTGAGAGCTGTAACTGCAGTTGCCTGCATTTCAAGATGAATGAATCCAGAGTAAGGACCATTGTAAAAAAAAAAGAAAAAAAAGTAAATTCATGAAGCTATCATTACAGTTATGCCAGCAGTCATGAAAACTTTACACGTTTTATAAAATAATTTCTTATCTCCTATTGTAAATGCAGCTTTTATGTGGGTGCAGGACCACTGTAAGAAAGGTATGGCTATAGATACTAACATGACTTGAAAAAGCAAATTCATTATATGACAACTTAAAGCAAAAGGAAGATGAAAGATCTAAATCTGGAGAATTTAATGCCAGCAAAAGATAGTTTGATAATTTTAGAAAGAGGTTTGGCTTTAAAAACTTCAACATAACAGAAGAAGTGGCTTCTGCTGACCAAGAGGCAGCAAACAAGTTCCCAGATACCATTAAGAAAATCACTAAGAAAGGATATCTGCCTGAAAACATTTTTAATGAAAATGAAAGTGCTCTATTCTGGAAAAAATAAATGCCACAAAAGATATTTATTAGTAAGGAAAAGAAAAGAGCACCATAACTTGAGACAGGAAGGGATAGCTAACTACTATTTTGCACAAATGCAGTCGGGCATCAGGACTGCCCTTACCTAAAAAACTGCTAAACCCCAAGCCTTGAAGGGAAAAGATAAACACCAGCTACCAGTCTTTTTGTTGTACAAGGAGGAGCCCTGGACAATGAGAAACCTTTTTCTGGATTGATTTTAACAACACTCTCTCCCTGAAGCCAGGAAGTACCTTGCCAGTAAGGGAGTGCCTTTCAAAGTTCTTTGAATATTGGATAATGCTCTTCACTACAGAGAATCCCATGAGTTCAACAGTGAACTCACTGAAGCAGTGCACTTGCTCCCTAAGACAATGTCTTAATGTGTAGAGCTCATTATACATACTCCTCTATGGAAAGAATTGTCAATGCCATAGAAGAAAATCCCAATAGAGAAAACATCATGCAAGTCTGGAAGAATTACACCATTGAAGATGCCATCGTTGTTATAGAGAAAGCCGTTGAAAGCCATCAAGCCCAAAACAATAAATCCCACTGGAGAAAACTGCATCCAGATGTTGTGCATGATTTCAAAGGATTTACAATACAGCCAATGAAGGAAATCATGAAAAAGATTGTGGATATGGGGGGGGGGGGGGAAGATGTGGGGGGGAGGATTTCAAGATATGTATCTGAGAGAAATTCTAGTGCTAACAGACACCACACCCAAATGGAGGAATTAGCAAAGACAACTTCACAAAGACGAGACCAACGCCAGACAACAAGGAAGAAGACATAGAAGAAGCATTGCCAGAAAACAAACTAACAGAACGGTTCTAGTTATTCCAGATTGCTTTTGACTTCTTTTACGACATAGACTCTTCGATGATATAAGCACTGTAAACTAAAGCAAACATTGGAAGAAAGATGGTACCATATAGAAACATTTTTTAAAAAATGAAGCTGCAAAACAGTCAGACACAAATTATGATGTATTTCCATGAAGTTACATTGAGTGTGCCCGCCTCTCCCACCTAACCTCCCACCTCCTCCACTTCTTCCGCATCAGTCACCCCTGCGGCAGCAAGACCAACCCCTCCTCCTCAGTCTGCTCAACATGAGGATGAGGATGAAGATGAAGACCTTCATGGAGACTCACTTCCACTTAATGGACAGTAAATAATCATCATGCCATATAGTTAATAAACTTATCTGTTGTACGTGTGTGTCTGTGTAAAAATAAATAGCAAGAACTGTATGAGATGTTTTTGTGTCACATAGAACACTGTATGCAAGACTTGTATGAAGTGGATAACCTACCCTGAAATAGGCATAAGGTGAGTGATACTTACTATGAAATTAATAATGCGTTACTTTTCTTACTATTTTATCACTTTGCTTTGAAGAATTATATCACCTTCAAGTATGGCTCTCTCTCATAAATGGAGAAGATGTGTAACAGCCCATGATCACAGGTAAGTGCTTTTTAAAAACCATAACATTTTAAATAGTGTATTATGAATATAACTAATGCTGTATGCCATAAAAACCTTATAACTACTCACTCCTTAGTCTATAGGCTAGGTTACACTGAAATTATCCTATCGATTACACCATAAAGAAATCATATTACTACTTCTTCATTATCAATACATGAATCTTTTTACCTGTAAATATTAATTTCTTTCACATTATCTTTTAATTTTTGATGTCTAGTGTTCATAATACATTTACAGTGTTTTGTCTCATATAAGATGAAATTAATGTAGGTACTGACAGACAGTTCATCTTGTAAACACATGACACAAACTTACAATATCAATAAATATAGTACAGTAGTATAAGTGTATTTTCCTTCTTATGATTTTCTTAACATTTGCTTTTTTCTAGCTCACTTTAGTGTAAAAATACAGTATATAATACATATAACATACAAAATACATGTTAATCGACTACTTACATTATCAGTAAGGCACAGGGTACACAGTGGACTACTAGCAGTTAAGTTTTTGGGAAGTCAAAGTCATGCATGGATTTACAATTGCGTGAGGTGTGGCACCCTGAGCCCCTACATTTTTCAAGGGTTAATTGTATGTAATTTATCCTAATTAATTTGCAACATATTGAATCATTTTAATCTAAATTATTATAATCATCCAAAGGATTCCACTGGGTCCTCTATTGCCAAATATTGACTTATTTTTTATTTTATAAATGCATCTGGGATATAATCAAATTATTATATAAAGGGTACTTAGAGTGTACATTTTTTAAAGGCTCTTAAGTGCAGAAAAATATAAAACCACACACACACACACACACACACACACACACACACACAAACTGTCATACCTTAAGCCATTTGTGGAATAAGGTAGATTATATAATCAATTTGTAAAACAAATCTACATACTTGATTATCAAGAAAGAGGGAGTTTTTAAGAACGTAGTAGCTGCTCTGCTAATACCATAAATGAAAAGAAACATCACCTATTCTTCCAAAAGCATCCAGTGCTGTCTTCACAACCTTCTCTCCTGCTTCCACTGAATCTGAGGGAGAGAGAAATTAGTACAAAACTTCAGTGATATCTCTCAAAATGATTACTAAATTCTGTGGATCAAAGGACATGACAAATACTATTCACTCAATAGAACTCATTTCCAAGAAAAACACATTTATAGTGCAGACACATAATAAATCAAAATATAGGTGATGATCTAATATCCCAAAAGAAATTCAGTCCCTAAGGTAATACTTTAACCTATAAAAGGGGGGAAATAAAGAGGAGGGGATGAAAGAGAAATATTTGGCAAATACTATCTAAAATAGCACTGTCTGTGAAGATGAAAACATCCCATTTCCTCACTAATGCTGTAGCCACTAAGCACATGTGGCTGTTGCGTGCTTGAAATGTATCTAAACAACAAACTGAATATTTATTTTCAATATACTTTCTTGATTATGCTATACAGTCCAATTTTTCTCCCTTTGTCTCCCTTTACTCAGTACTCCCCATTCCCTCTGGCAATCCCCACCCTTAGTTCATGCTCATGGGTCGTGCATATTTAAGTTCTTCCTTTGGCTTCTCCATTTCCTATACTATTCTTAACATCCCCCTGTCTAGTTTTCACCTACCAATTCATACTTCTTAATCTCTGTACCTTTTTCTACATTCTCCTCTTTCCCCCTCCCAACTGATAACCCTCCAAATGATCTCCACATCTATGATTCTGTTTCTGTTCTGCTTGTTTGCTTAGTTTTTAGATTCAATTGCTGATCAATGTGAATTTATTGCCATTTAAATGTTAATAATTTTGATCATCTTCTTCTTCTTAAATAAGTTTCTTATTTATTTAACATATCATATAAGGGCTTGATGATAATGAACTCCTTTAGCTTTACCTTGTCTGGGAAGCTTTTTATCTGCTCTTCCATTCTAAATGATAGATTTGCTGAATACAGTAATCTAGGTCATAGGTCATTGCTTTTCATCACTTTGAATACTTCTTGCCAGTCCCTTCTAGCCTGCAAAGTTTCTTTTGAGAAATCAGCTGACAGTCTTATGGGAACTCTTTTGTAAGTAACTATCTGCTTTTCGCTTGTTGCTTTTAAGATTCTTTCTTTATCTTTAACATTTGACATTAATTATGATGTGTCTTGGTGTGGTCTTCTTTGTGTTCGTCTTGTTTGAGATTCTCTGTGCTTCCTGGACTTGTATGTCTATTTCCTTCATCAAATTAAGGACGTTTTCTTTCATTATTTTGTCAAGTAAGTTTTCAATTTCTTGCTCTTTCTCTTCTCCTTCCAACACCCCTATGATGTGAATGTTAGTACATCTAAAGTTGTCCCAGAGGTCCCTAAGACTTTCCTCATTTTTTAAAATTCTTTCTTCTTGTTATTGTTCAGATTGAATGTTTTTTCTTCGTTATATTCCAAATCATTGACCTGATTCTCAGCTTCACCCACTCCACTGTTGATTCCCTGTAAATTTTTCTTTATCCCACTTAGTGTAACCTTCATTTCTGCTTGGGTCTTTTTTATGTTGTTTAAGTACCCAATGAGTTCCTTGAGCATCCTAATAACCAGTGGTTTGAACTCTGCATAGATTGCTTATTTCCATTTTGTTTAGTTTTTTTTTCTGAAGTTTTGTTGTTCTTTCATGTGGGACATATTTCTTTGTCTCCTCATTTTGGAAGCCTCCCTGTGTTTGTTTCTATGTATTAGGTAGAGCTGCTTTGACTCCCTGTCTTGGTAGTATGGCCTTGTAGAAAAGTGTATCTGTAAGTTGGAGAGGGTGCAGCCTTAGGTAATTGCCAGGGCAAGGCAACCCATGTGAACCAGGCTAATGGAGTCTCAGATATGGTTCCTCCACTCTATGGCTCTGAGTGGGGGAGGGCTCAGAAAAGGAACACTGGCCATTACCTGGCCTCTGGGGTTTTGTCCAGGAGGAAGCTGTCCCCCAGCACGTGCCCTGATGCCAGACACTTCAGCTACTGCTTCAGTGCTGGAGCCCAGAGCAAGTGAGTCTAGGTAAGTCCTAAGCCCTTTCTGGGCCCTTTAAGAGGAGATTCCTAAGAACCCCAGTTTTTTCCACCACCCCAATCCCCACTGTTTTTTACAGCCAGAAGTTATGGGGACTTATCTTCCTGGCACAGGAACCCTGGGCTGAGTGGTCTGGTATGGGGCTAGGATCCCTCGCTCCCAAGGTATCGCTCCCAATTTTTACCCACCACACATAGGTATGGGACCGCAGTTCCACATCTCCACATCTCCACACCTCCTACCCATCTAGATGAAAGTGACTTCTTTAATTCTTCTTTAGTTATTGAACTTTCATGCAGCTCAATTTTCTGACAATTCTGGGTGATAGTTTTGTATTTTAGTTGTAATTTTTGCTACGGTTGTGTGAGGAGATTAATCTATGCTTCCATGTTGACCAGCAGTCCTGAATATTTAATTTATGTAATTTACAGGGTGGGGCAAAAGTAGGTTTACAGCTGTGAGTACACAAAACATAGAGTTCATTTTTGTATTATTATTAATTAACTATTTTATTACTTCCCATATAAACAACTACAAACTTACTTTTACCCTACTCTGTATATTTATTTTTAAATGTCCCAATAGGCACTTCCACTTAAGGATGCAAATCAGAATTTGGGAGGAAGGGAAGAAGGTGCATATTAAACTTGAAAAAGCACATTCAACACTATATAACTATATATGGATAATAAACCTACTACTTTCATGATACTAACCACAAAGAGTAAAGCTTGTCAAAATAGTATGGTTTCATTATTTTCTGCTAATCGACTGAGGAAAAGGGCTCACATCCCCAGAGTTGTGTGTTAAATGGTCACCTGTCAACTCCACATCACCACTGCTTCTTTCTATACTCTCTCTGCAATAGCAGGGGAGGATATAATAAATACAGTCCCTTCCCTAGGGCCCATTTAGTCCTGAGTTAAATATGACAAAAAGAGATAATCACCTAAAACACAGGTGGCAAACACAAGGACTGCAGGCTGAATACAGCCCTCCACCTTGTTTCATCCAGCCTTGCACCTTGTTTCTACCCAGCAGCAGCACCAAGCTCTCGCTTCACTGTTAAGGAGTAGTTACATTTATGCAATCCTAAAATTATATTCGGCCCTTTGAAGGCAACTGTGAGGCTGATGTGGCCCCTGTTGAAAATGAGTTTGACACCTCTGACCAAAAGCATGGAAAAGTAGGAGAGACCTGCAGATGCAGGCAATCCTGAAGATGTTAGACCATCAGCACATCTGGGGGAGCTCTTGAGAACCACCTGCTTCAGGCTGAAGTAGTCATTGACAGTTTCCCTGACATGCACTTCCCCAGTCCTTCCAATGGAAATGTAAGCCTCTAATTCTCTGTATTAAAACCCTCACACCTGGAATACCTAGAGGGGCTTCTGTTTTCTTTTTTTTTTTTTTTAAAGATTTTATTTATTTATTTTTAGAGAGGGAAGGGAGAGAGATAGAGATAGAGATAGAGAGAGAGAGAGAGAGAGAGAGAGAGAGAGAAACATCAATGTGCGGTTGCTGGGGGTTATGGCCTGCAACCCAGGCATGTACCCTGGCTGGGAGTCGAACCTGGGACACTTTGGTTCCCAGCCCGCGCTCAATCCACTGAGCTACGCCAGCCAGGGCAGGGGCTTCTGTTTTCCTGACTGAAAGCTGATTGATAAAGGGTGCACATCAAAACTGGGGCAAAGGGGTAGGTATGGAATTTTTATCTTTATAAAATAGGTTTCCAAACCCCCAAATTAAAAAAAAAATGAAAACATTCTTCTAAATCCTTAATGTGGAAAGAAGACACTAAAATGTCTGTCTTATTATTCTCACAAACACTCAATAAATTATACCCTATTCCCTTCCTCTAAAATTTCAAAATGAAGTCACTGGTCATCTAATTTAATCCCTGGCCCATAAAAACAATCTAAGTTGCAAAAAATCAGTAAGCCCTAGCTTGTTAAAGTAAATCTTTTCAAGAGGGTTCCTTACAAATACTATTAGTATCAATACATCAAATGTAAAGGTTATATGTGCTGTTTTTCTTGTGGCTTCACTTGAATGCCTAACTTTGACTCTTTAAGTTCTTATGAAGATAATAAATTAAATATAGCAATGATTACTTGTGTATAATGGAATACAGAGGTTGGGCCCAGAGAGGAGGCATTTCACTTCTTATATGATATTACTTAAAAAAAATTTAAACAATTCTCCTTATAAAAGGATAATTTAATGTTATTTTGTAGAAATGCCTAAGACCTTTAAGCTAAAACAGATCTTTTAAGAACAAGATTTATTTATAACATATAAATACATATTTATATGTATTTATAAATTATGTATAATACTATACATATTATTATAAATATGTATTTATAAATTATTTATATAATACATATAAATTATATGTATTATAAGTACATATGTATTTATACATATTTATACATGTACCTATGATAATTTACTGATTATATCACTTGCTCATTAATAAAATATTAAACAATAGAAAATATGTTAGACTTGTGAAGGAATCTACATCAAAACTTTAAAATTCTCACATATTATATAAAATATGTAGCCAAACAGCTTTGGCTGACTTAGATAAAACCTAACTCCATAATTATACCAGAATGCAGAGATTATTAATGTGTACAACAGCATTAGTTGAAGAAAAATTTTAAAAATAGTGTAGTTCTCTCAAATACCATACCATAGTTGGCCACTGCTTTTCCGCCTTTCCTTCTTATTTCTTCAACAACCTTATCAGCAGCTAAGGAGCCTTTACCAACTCCCTTGAAGTCCCCGCCTAAGTCATTCACTGCAATGCAATAACAAATAAACATGAATTCATTTCTAGACCTTCAAAGTATAAGCTGAAACAGTATTATTTGTGTATTTCTTTAGTAATCTGCCCAGTTCCATCCTACCCCACCCCATCTTACTAAACACACCATGAGGTATATACATTCATAACATGCCTCTGTTTTTTAAATATAGATATGAAGAAGCAATAAAAATACTTAACACGTTTCTCATAAAATTTTTAATTTTAAGATGTTTTTACTTTTTAAAAATAGAAAAACAATATGATTCAACCTAACTTTAGCCAAAAAGAGAAAAAAAACTACAGATCACCTTAAGATTAAACACACAATGATGTATGTTTATTTGGGGGATTTTCCATTTAATAGTTTCAGACTGTGATTGATGGCAGGTAACTGAAACCATGGAAAGTGAACTCATGAATAAGTGGTACTACTGTACTCTTAAAAATTTGTTAAGAGAGTAGACTTCACTGTAGGTGTTCTTACCACAGTTAAAAATAAAGATGAAAAACAGAATGTGAAATATCTTCTTCATGTCAAGAAAGCCTTTGTTTACAGAAATAGTGATAAAGAACAAGTATGATATTAAAATATTAGACAGAGAAGGAACTTATAAATTTTCATAAAACATACTATGCCATAGTCTACAATGAAAGAAATAAAACTATTAAAAAAGTTCAAAATTACAAACAGAATAAGTTTTGTCACTAATTTATACCATGACTCAGTCTTTATATGTTTAACTGACCACACTTATCATATAATATCTGCCTGAATCCAATTATATAGATATAAACATTAATTGAGCATTTACTATCTGCAAGGAAATCTACAGAGGAACACACAGATGTATAAGAATGGAATATCTTAAAGAGTTCATAATTGATGAACACTCTGAAGCTTAGTAAATTTTAGCATAAAGTAAATAAAGACCAATATAACTAAATAACAGGAACACATAAAGTTAATTTACCCAATAATTTAAGGTAAAATTTATGAAATAACATGCAAAAACTAATGAAGAGATATACAGATCAATGCCAAATATTGAAAAGGTAGAATTTAAGAAAAATACTTGAGACAAAAAATCAATTCACATTGCAAAATGATTTTGTAGGGTTATTATATAGATTTTTAGGAATATAACAAAAAATACTAAATAATAAATGGCATAACTGCATATACTAATTTTAAAGGCTTTTAATATTAGCTGATGATTACCATACCTGAAAAAAAATCTTTTCTTATGAAAAATGACTTTTTTTATTGGAATAATAGTTACAAGTAGGGTTGGGTGGTAAAGGAGAAAAAAGATAATATAGAGAAAAAGCAAATGCCTATCTAAACTTAAAATTGGCTAAATCAATGTGTTTTTACTTAACTGTTTTTTAAGAAAGTAAGTTTTTCAAAATGTAGACTGGAATATATTTTTCTAACAATATAGTCTTATCAGTTTTACTTCATGTAAAACATGCTTTGAAGACAAAATAATGGAAAGATGCTTACATTACACTTCAAGAGATTAAAAAAAAAGTTGTAAGACTTAAGACTAAATTCCTATTAATTGTCCATGTCCATGACAGGAAACAACCAGAAAAAAAATCAAGATTTTAAAACATGCAGCTAACAGCCTTTTAAGACCCTTTTTCACTAAGCAGGGGCAAGTTCAAAAGCAAATTGGCAAATGTGGTATTTAAGTAAAGAACTGTTAGATTGTGCAATGAAACACCACCCCCAAGTGGAAACTGTTCCAAGTGCAACCATACATAGAAGCATTTAAAGCCTGAATAGCTTATTGAGATCAATAACATGCAGTGAAACAGTATCAGAATAGATTTATTCAAAATAAGTTTCTACATTTGAGAGCACTAAATTGTACTGACCTCATTCAGTCATCCCACTCTCACCAGAGCTAAATTACAGGTATTACAACCTCAACTAGAAGAGCTGGTAACACATGCTGAAGGACTGGGATAAAAACAATATTAAAAGTTTTGCAATTGTAGACAAGAGAAACCTATCCATACTATGTGACAGTGTTACAACTTAAATGTACTGCTAAAATTCTAATAATGTTAATAAATAACTTTTTAAAATACCATTACCATCCTAAACTGATATGTGTCTAGTACTTCGCATTCAAAGAACCATTATATACACTGCCACATTTGATCTCCACATAGCCTTTTCGGAGGCTACCATGAACTGCTGTTCCTACTTTCACAGAGGAGTAAACGGTTTGGGAAAGGTTAGGTAACTTGTCCCAGGCTCCAAGGCTGTATGAAATGACAATATGCGGACTAGAACCTTGACCTACTACAATGCCACTCTGTTCCTCTAATGTTGTAAGTTTCTTTTCTCCTATAACGTATTTATTCCCACTTAAAAAAAAAATCGTGTCTGTTGGGGGAAGGAACAGAGGAAATGATAAATCAGCCACCTTAGTCGAACAAATAGCTGTAAAATAGGTAGTAAGAATGGGAAGATGATGACAGTTAAGGTCAGAGTATTTTCAGTTGAAACCATCAAAATAAAATATATTTGTAAATCCTCCATTTATATTTCTTATTGTTTGCCTGTTTAAATCACATTTTATTTAGGATGTTTGTCCTCCCTACAAATTTGTTTTTAATCCTCACCCAAAGGTCTATTTATTGATTTGAGAAAAAGACAGAGAGAGAAACATCAATGTAAGAAAGAAACATCGATCAGCTGCCTCCTGTACATGCCCCAACTGGGGACTGAACCCACAACCTAAGTTTGTGCCCTGATCGGGAATTAAATCTGCAATCTTTTGGTATATGGGACAATGATCCAATCAACTAACCCAACCAGCCAGGGCCTTCTTACAGATTTTTAAGTGTCCCTTTATTTAGAAAAGATTTTTATTATTTGTCGTTTGTGTAGCAGATCATAAATTCCTTTATTGAACTGTTGAGAAAGAAAAAGGTAATATCTGAGCATTAATATTACTTGAAGGCTTTACTGCTTCAATTTACTATAGGTAGCTCCTGCTTTTTGTTGTAGCTTAGCACAGGGAAACTGCTCTTACAACAGTTTCCAACTTCCGACTAGATTATCAAGAGTATTCATGTTACAATGCTTTATATTTCAAGAGTGCTTTTAACTACCTGTATAGATAGTCATGTTCATATATTTATTCAAGAATGTGCCACTAAATGAGTCATGTCTATTACCAATGACATATCTTTGAACTATTCGTATTTCTAAAGTAAAATGATGCTTCCAATTCTACAAAAGTGGAATAAGTTTTATATGTATTGAAATGTAAGACATCCTTTGTTCTAAATAATCCAAGAAGTGTGTAAAAAATAAGAGCAATATTATATTGGAAATATATTTATTTTTAAAGAGGTAACTTACATTTTTTTATGTTTTTAAGACACAAATACAAGAAGTCCCATTCCCAAAGTGTACAAATACACTTGCCCTATCCCAATCTTTCCCAAAGGTGACTGCTATTAGCCATTCCTTGGATGTCCCTCCAGACATTTCTATACTCTATGTTTGATGCCTTTTCCCCATTTTGATAAAGTTTCCTACAGCAAACAATAGCATTAAGAATATTTCATTGATTTTAGACCTGTGGGCCCAAAAGGGATTTCTTCCTATATTGTTATGTCCTGAATGCTACCAAAAGTATTTAAAGTGGCTTAAACATAAAATACATATGCAAGGGATATTAAAGAACAGAAAAATTAACAAAATGCTATGTCAAGGAAAGACAAACCTACTGAAAGCACAGCCTACTCTAGTTGGCGACAGTGTCAGGTTTACCCTTAAGCTTCTTGACAGCCAAGAAAAAAGGAGAAAACACAGAGTTGCCATGTCATTTTTACTGTTTTGTAGAAAGATACATCACTGTAGTTCATGAGAAATCTTTTCCAGAATAGCCATAAATTGTATCTAAATATCTGAAGGACTCAAAAATCTGGGGTAGTTTAGATAGCAGTGTCTTAAATTAGGTCCTTTTAATTGATTTTCTTTGTCTGAACAGTAAGACATCGAAGGTATCCTTATAGTGAGAAGAATCTGAAAATGAGAGACTGAGTCATCCAGAGGTCAGGCCTTGGACTTCCGTTTATCTCACTAATTTTCAACCAGGGTGCCACAAGAATTTTTAAAACACACAACACTTGAAAAATTTAGTCAGGGGCACTGACCTCTTTTCCCTTAGATTGTCAAATTAAAAAATGACAACAGTCAATACAAGAGTAGCCATCCAGTATGAGTAAATCATAATTATACTGCTCAGGCCACGTGGCTCAGTTAGTGGAGTGTTGTCCTGTACACTACAAGATTGCAGGTTCAAATCTTAGTTGGGTCAAGTACCAGAAGACCAATCGATGTTTCTTTCCTACATCGATGTTTCTTTCTCTTTCTCTTTCTCTCTCTTTCTCTTTCTCTCTTTCTCTCTCTCTCTCTCTCTCTCTCTCTCTCTCTCTCTCTCTCTCTCTCTCTCTCTCTCCCCCCACCTCACCCCTTCCTCTCTCTGTAAAATCAATAAACATATACTCTAGAAAGAATTTTTTAAAATATACCTATTATCAGATCTGTAAAAATATATATATTTTTGGTGTGCTGTAGAATTTTAGTAATTAATTTATCTGTGCCACGAGATGAAAAAGGTTGAAAATCACTGGTTTATCTGTACTCACCATCTGGGTAATGTGATCCAGTGTCCTGGCTTTAAATACCATCTCTAAACTGAGAACATTCTGATTTATATAGCTTCAACCTGTCCCTCCAACTATGGAGTCCTGTATCACACTCCTATTTAATATCTCCATCTGAATGTCTAACAGGAATGTTTCCTCTCTGCAAGCTGGTCCACCTTTAGTCTTTCCTATCTCAGTAAATGGTCACTCTACCCCTCTCTTACCATTACAATCCACATCAGTAAATCAGCAAATCATACCTCATCTACCTTCAAAATATATCAACAATTTAACCTCCACCTCCATCTTAACCA